GAAAAATCATTTCATCCGGCCCGTGGATCGTCGGCCCTGCTGTCGGCCTCCTGGCAGTTTGTTAATAGAGACCGAGGGAGCTAGGACCCGGTAGCCTGCCGGATTGGAGGAGGACCCGGGACGCTGTGAACCTCCCGCAAGCAGGCAAGTTGGAGAGTTGCTGCGCATTACCATGGCAACGCTCCGACAGCGCTGTGCTCGAAGGAAGAAAAGAATGAAGTCAGTGCACGTGAAACTACTAGATCACCAGGGCTTGCAGTAACATGTCCCCTCCTTCCAGGCCAGAGGTAAGGAGGGGAGGGAGCATGCATTAATGTTTTTTTTCTTCCCCTTTTTAAGAATGAAATAAAAAATAAATAGATTTTCTCCCTGATCCCCCCACCACAATATAGACCCCTGACACACTACACCACCACACACACACACACCATCCCCTCAGACAAACAATGCGTGAGGGGTTCTGTATGTGAGGGGGTGTAGTGTGTTTGTGTGAGAGGTTGTGTGTGTGTGTGGGATGCAAACACACTGCACCACTCACACACACACATACTGCACCACTCACACACAGACTGCGAGTAGCAACATCATCAATACCAGCTAACATCACACCAAAGGGAAGCAGTTCCAGCCATCACATTAGGAGTGAGTTAATTACATGTTTAAATGTTAAATAAATGTTTGACCAAATACAGCAGGCTAATTTTTACGTTGATAATTTTGTATGGCCCGCAAATTAGGTTTTAAATATCCAAATGGCCCTTGGTAGACAAAAGGTTCCCCACCCCTGGTTTAGAGAGTCACATGATGCTTTATGTAAATCAGCATCACCCCTCTCCACAGCAGTGCAAAGCTGCTTGATTGGAGAATCTGAGGGCAGCCCAAGAACTAAACAGAGCTGGAGAAAAGACATTGAGGTCCTTTAATGTTTAAACCATGGTAAGCCAGCGAAGGTAAAGTGGTTATGGTGTTCAGAGGTGTCCTTTAACAAGCAATTCCTACTGTAAATTATTTGTTTTGAGCAGGGTTTTTTGCTAATCGCTCTTTAACCCTTATATTTTATTAATATTAAAATAGTGAAGATTAACAGAAGCAGTATTCAGTACACTATCTTTGTATGTAAGATCTCATCTTCTCATTTGAAAGGTAGAACAAATCTCTTATTTAAATATGCTCAATGGTAGGAATCCTTAAATTTCCTATGGGAACCATCTAATTAATGAAGGTACAAAGTAAAAGACCACTAGAGACCATTTGACTAATTAAGCCAATGGTGGTAGTACATAGGAATCTATAAAGTTAAAAGATTTCATAATAGGAAAGCTCAAGATCAGGGTGTAATTGCCAAACATGAAAACACAGAATGAGGTGATCCATGACAACAGCGACTAGAGCTGCAACAACTACTTGATAAAATAAATAGATTATGAAAATCATTGATTAGACTCCGCATGTTTACTCATTGTGTTACTACTGTTGCAAATAAAGATAACAAAAATGTATATATATATATATATATATATATATGTATATGTATATATATATATATATATATATATATATATATATATATATATTTTATAACAACTGCACTTTAAAAGAGCCCTAAGAAAAGGGTAAAACACACTGTTATAATTTTTAATATCTAGTTTAGCGTAAATATATATATGAGAGTGTGTATAAGATCAGTGGATTTTACATGGATGAAGCTGCTGCAATAATTAAAACCATTTCTAGTGTGACATAGAAGATGCTTAAGACGGACTTCTGAGAGCTATACATTGGAGAAGATAAGTGCCTACACAAGTCACTTTTTCAGGACAGTATAAGTTTCTTTTTGAGCTTATAACCATCACTGGTTTATGTGGATTAGATCAATTATGCAACTCAAATAATAAGATGTCATCATGTCAATTGCTTATATAAAATATGGTGATTTGGGACTATGCTTTGCATGTTGTAGTGCCAAGCTTGTTATGTACACTTAACCTTAGATTAATGGGAGTTGCTATTTGAATTGAAGTGCACTATTATCTGGTTGCACCATTATTAGTCAATTGCTTGCTATTGCGGATTACATGTAGTGTATAGGCTTTGTCCGTTTTTTTTTTTTGTTTTTTTAATTGTGATATGTACCTGATTCAATCTCTATGAGCATGTGTATGATACTGTAAGAGTGAACTAGATATTTTAAATATTTTTCCCCAATGAAATCGTATATTAAAAAAAAAAAAAAAAAAGCTAATCAAAATCGATTATTAAAATGACCATTAGTTGCAGCCCTAATAATAAAAGTACGCAGTAGCATCACTTTACACAATTCCACTGTATATTGCCCTACGTATAATATAAATATTTAGTTTTCACTAAATAGGTTTTTTAAACTCTAGAAATTTAAGGTACATCCAGTCTGGCGTGTTTAAGGTTTAAGACTTGCAAACACACACATAATATTAATACTAAGAATAAATATGCATATTCAGTACCTAAAAATTATATCCTAGAGGATGCAAGGTAGATGGTGACATAAAATATTGTCATTAAGGGGTTCTGGAGACTTCAAAATAAACCATAAGACTGATACGGCATAAATCAACTTTTATGCAACATTTATATCAATGCGGTGTGAAGCACCACCAGGATGGATAGGTTTCTGCCAGCGCAAGAATGCGGAAAGGTAAACTTTCTTGCAGTATCTACCATTTGTGGCTGTTGTCCTTAGTTAAGACACTTTCCCTTTATAGATCCATCCACAGTGTCAGTAAAACAATATCATATACCAGTGATGGCGAACCTTTTTGAGCCCGAGTGCCCAAACCGCAATACATGTCAACTTTCTTTTCATCAAAGTGCCAACACGGCAATTAAACCTGAATACTGAAATTTAAGTTCAGAAAAAATAACTCGTACAGTTGTCCGAACTAGTTAACATCTTTTGTTTTAAAAGACACAACAGAGAGTTCAATTATACAAATTTTAAATAATGATATTGATAGATAAAATTAAGCATTTATTTATTAGTATCTCCAGCAAATGCAATGCATACACACAGCTGAACACATTCACACACCGACTGCTTAATACACACACACAGTCCATTACATACACGCAGTCCGCTGAATACATACACGCAGTCCGCTGAATACACACACACACTGCTGAATACACACACATATACTGCGTTGAGGGGTGCAGTGTATGTGTTTGTGTGTGAGGGGTGCAGTGTATGTGTTTGTGTGTCAGGGGTGCAGTGTATGTGTTTGTGTGTGAGGGGTGCAGTGTATGTGTGTGTGTGAGGGGTGCTGTGTATGTGTGTGTGAGGGGTGCTGTGTATGTGTGTGTGTGAGGGGTGCTGTGTATGTGTGTGTGTGAGGGGTGCTGTGTATGTGTTTGTGTGTGAGGGGTGCTGTGTGTGAGAGGGGGTAGCGGTGCTGTGTGGGGTGGGGGTGTAGGGGTGCCCTGTTGGGGGGGGGGGCAGGGGTATTCTGTTGGGGGGGGTTTAAGATACATTAAAAACGTTTTTTTTTAAAAAGCATACTGAATCAGTATTTCCTCCTCCCCCCCCCCACCTTCATCTTACCTTTGGTGAAGGGGTCTGGTGGTGGTAAGTATGTAGGACTGCAGCTCTCCTGTCCTCCCGCGCGATGCTGTGTGGAGCGTTGCCATGGTAATGCACGGCAACGCACCACACAGCTCGTGGGAGGACAGGAGGGCTGTTTCCTAGATGCCTCCTCCTGCTTCTGGTCCGGCCGACAAGGAAGCAGAGTAGGCGCCACAGGTGCTGCCGAACTTACGGCCGCGTGCCATAGGTTCGCCATCACTGTCATATACCAGAATATTTAAAGCGCTGCAGAATAAGTCGGCGCTATATAATGGTGATCATAATAATAATAAAGAAAGCTTGTGGGTTCTTATAAAAAAAAAAAAACTTGACATTTTTATAAATAGATTGTCTGGTCTTTGGGATAAACTATCTCCATCATGAGTCTAAATGGGAATCCATTAATACAATTAAAAGCATATTTGGATTATTTGTATGTGCAACATCTCTTATTTACTGGTAAAGTGCATTGCAGTATACCAAAATACTTTAAATGTGATGTTAATATTAATATGCTATTACTATCAACATAATTTTAAATATTAAAAATAGGGTACATATATCCACATACTGTACATCACGCATGCTATTATGTATCATAAACATACATACACACTATTCTGTAGAAGAAATGGTCTACAAAGGTTTATATTCAAAGAATCTATATTTTTACCATCTTAAACTGAATAACCCTGCACAAAGATTCATGTATACACCTACACATAGCAACCGTCTCTAGTAAAAAAAAAAAAATTATATATATATATATATATATATATATATATATATATATATATATATATATATATATATATATATATATATATATATATATATACACACACACGTTAAAAATAGGCAATGTATTAAGAGCCATCTTATCTACATGGTAAAACAGTGAGCTGAAGTAAATTCCACCGATAAGATGAACTTGCTAACCCCAGCAAAGAGGGGAGAGGCAGTCAGCACATGCTACAATATAATCATCGAAACACTGACCATGCTGGAGAATGCGGTATAGAAGTCGGCTTTCTTTCGGTACCGAGGATAAAATTATAGAATATAACTATTATGTATCAAGCTTCCAGGTTACCACTCACCATCTCCTAAACAGCAAAGTTCCTGACACACATAACAGACATCACTGAGCCTCACCTTGAATACAGTCTGCTCACTGTCTACCCTGATGTTTCCTCCGATCCAGCACGGCAGCTCTGTGTCATGATACAATGGAACATGCTTATTTAACACACCGGAAGGCGCTGCCTCTACATTGCATAACATTAGCTCTCCCCCTAAACAAGACTGCAGAATCATTCCGAATCCCGAGCAACTGGAGAGCTCCAAGATCTAGCTCTCTAAACCATCTAGTGTACCACTAGGGTATAGCGTGCAATGCTGGTCATTTATCCTACAGAAAAAAAAAAAGAAAAAAAAAAGTGCGGTCTTCTAGCTTACACAATGCTTTGGATTGCTGATGTAAAATGCACATCTTATGACATATCCTCCACAAAAAAATAAAATATAAAAAAAACCTCGGCCTTCTGTCAATGCGCTAATCGCGCAAGTGACATCGGTGGGGGAGGGAATGATCACTAGTTTAGGTAGACAGAATATGAAAGGTGGACTACTAAAATAGATGAGGGTGAGGCTGAGGGCCAGGTTTCCTTCGTGTCACGCTAACAGTTACCCGGCAAGGGCGGAAACATTTACATTTGACAGTATTTTGTATGTACACATTTATGGATGCGTCTACTTCCAGAATCTTAGAAAACAAAATGAAAATTAACAGTAAAATCACCAAGACTTAAAAGGATCCTGGTTATGTGCTGCTCTCATACTTGGCAAACTGCCAACTCTCAAATTCTATCTATAATTCTAATGTATAGAGGAATATTCACTGTCAAACAAAGACTCCCAACAGCTAGTGTAAAGCAAATAAATCAAATGACTCTGTATTTGATAGATACAATAACAAAAAAAATGCAAATAAAAATGACAAATAGAAAATAGTTGCAGAGACAAAAGATTAGAACAATGCATATCACAAGGTGGACGTTGTATTAGTCGAAGTTATATTCAGTGCAGAGAGTTAGAGTTATTTCTGACCACAATATCCATTATTTTTTTAGTGTCTAGCATTGTATTAATGGAACACTTCAAATACCATAACCACTGCTGTAGTTTTTTTTTAGAATGGCCTGACTTTCTGCATGGGACCTGATGGGGACAACTCCTCACCTCTTCTCAACTGCTAGTTTTGTATCTTAAGTAGGCAGTGGCGGAACTACCGCGGTCGCAGGTGTGCCCGTAGGCATTGTGGTGTGGCCCCGGCCGTGCATTGAAGGCGACCACCCGATAATGTATTTCTCGGGGCCCGGTCAGCGCTGCTTTAAGAGCGCCCAGTGCTTGTGTCAGAGCTGGGAGTAAGTCATCACTTCCTCCCAGCTAACACAGGCGCACAGGAGGAGAGGAGAGAGTCAGAGTGCTGACTCCCATCAGCCTGAGGCAGCCACTGGACTCCACAGAAGTCACCCTCCTGCAACTAGAATGTAGGAAACAGGAGGGAGACTACATTTTTTTTTTCACAGTTTGCATGTGTGTGTGTGTGTGTGTGTGTTTCTGAATATCTTTTTCTGTATATCTGTGTGACTGTATATCTATTTGTATATCTATTTGTGTCTACATGCGTGTCTGTAGGTGTATGTGTGTCTATGAATCTGTATGTGTTTCTGTTTCTCTGCATGTGTCTGTGTGTATGTGTATTTGTATCTGTAGAAGTGTCTGTGTGTGTGTGTGTATCAGCATTCGTGCACATGTATGTATCTGTATGATTTATATTGAGTGTCTCTGCACATGTCCGTGTGTTTGTCTGTATGTGTGTCAGTGTATGCACCTGTGTGTCTGTGTATCCGTCACACACACACTGGAGTACAGTTAATGGAAGTCTGTTTAACACTTCAAAGTAAACATTGCCATTTCTGGAAAGCAGCAATCTTTAACCCCTTAAGACCGGACGGTGTACTATTACGCCCTATTTTAGGCGGCTCTGTAAGTCTTTCTATACTTACCCGGTCGCCGGCGATCCCACGCCGGCGATCACGGTTGGGGGGACTCCCAGGGAGCACCCCGCGGCACGTCCGACCCCCTGGAAGCCCCCCCGGCCATGTGAGAGTGAGGTCCTTGCGAGGACCTCACAATCACATGGCCGGGTTAGCTGCCTCCTGCATTGCCAGCAGGGGGGCTGCCTGTAATGACAGGTGGTCCCCCTGCTGGCTGGAAATCAAATTAAATTAAATTAATAAAAGTTAAATAAGTGTAAAAAAAAATATATTATATACTTGGATCATATATATATATATATATATATATATATATATATAATCTAAGTATGTATATACACATACACACATACTGTCTAGGTGTATTTTACTATTAATATATATATATATATATATATATATAATTATATATATTAATATCAAATTACGTAGACTGATACTGATTAAATATATATATATATATTGTTATATATTTATATATAATATAAAAAATTAAATCTGTAAATACGTTAAAAAAAAATTAAAAATTAAAAAAATATATAGATGTGTGTTATTTAGTTCCAACTGTATTGTGATATTAAAATATATATATACACATACATATATACACATATATATATACACACACACACACATACACATATATACATATATATATATATATATATATATATATATATATATATATATATATATATATAAATATAAATATTTTAAAAAATATTGTGGTGTGGCGCACTGTATTAATGGAACACTTCAAATACCATAACCACTGCTGTAGTTTTTTTTTTAAGAATGGCCTTTCTGCATGGGACCTGTGTACACATACACACACACACACACACACACACATATATATATATATTCACATACGTATATATTCACATACATACATATATATATATATACATACATATACACACACGTATGTGAATATATATATGTGTGTGTGTGTATATATACACACGTATTAATTCTACATATATATTTATATAATATTTTTACATAATTAGGTATCTTAATTAATTACAATTAGCGGGACCTGCCTGACAACCCATGCCAAAAGTAAAGGGAATTTAATTTGCTAGCACTATATGTAACCCTATAACTTTCCAAGACACCATAAAACCTGTACATGGTGGGTACTGTTCTACTCGGGGGACTTTGCTGAACACAAATATTAGTGTTTCAAAACAGTAAAATGTATTACAACGATGACATTGCCAGTAAAAGTGACTTTTTTGCATTTTTCACGCACAAACAGCACTTACACGGACGATATTATTGCTGCGATACTTTTTACTGTTTTGAAACACAAATATTTGTGTTCAGCGAAGTCTCCCGAGTACAACAGTACCCCTCATGTACAGGTTTTATGGTGTTTTCAAAAGTTACAGCGTCAAATATAAGGCTTGTGTTTCATTTTTTTCACATTAAAATTCGCCAGATTGGTTACGTTGCCTTTGAGACCCTATGGTAGCCCAAGAATGAAAATTACCCCTATGATGGCATACCATTTGCAATAGTAGACAACCCAAGGTATTGCAAACGGGGTATGTCCAGTCTTTTTTAGTAGCCACTTAGTCATAAACACTGGCCAAAATTGGCGTTTTTTTGCATTTTTCACACACAAATACTAACACTAACTTTGGCCAGTGTTTGTGACCAAATGGCTACTAAAAAAGACGGGACATACTGCATTTGCAATACCTTGGGTTGTCTACTATTGCAAATTATATGCCATTATGGGTGTAAATTTCTTTCCTGGGCTACTATAAAGTCCCAAAGGCAACGTAACCAATCTGGCGAATTTCAATTTCAAATGTAACGTGCTATATTTGACCCTGTAACTTCCCAAAAAGCCATAAAACCTGTACATAGGGGGTACTGTCTTGCACGTGAGACTATGCTGAATACAAATATGTGTATTTTATTGCAGTAAAAGCAAACAGTATTATGACATTGACCGTTAAAATGTCATGTAGAACTAAAAAAAATAAACAAAATTCTTATTTTCTCCTATTTTTTCAGTATAAATTATGTTTCATAGCTAAATATTTGATATTAAATGAAAGCCCTGTTTCCCCTGAATAAAATGATATATAATAAGGGTGGGTGTATTTAATATGAAAGAGGTGAATTACGGTTGGGCAGACATGTAGCGCAAATGCCAGGTTTTGTTTACATTTTGTTTCGTTCAAAACGTGTACATTTGGCTCTGTCCTTAAGGGGTTAACCTAGAATAGTTCAAATGGCAGGACCACTGCACCCAGGCCACTTCATAGAGATAAAGGACCACTAAAGTGCCATTTTTTACTTCAAGTATTGTTTAGCATATCGGTTTATTACCATGGATTTGATAGAGTGATTAAAGGGTTACTCCAACCACCATGACCACTCCAGTGATTTTCAGTGGTCATGGTGGTAGTAGTCAATATGAGCACTGCACATACTTTAGTTATTTTTAATTACATGCTGGGAGCTAGTTGCACCTCCTTTATACGTGCATATTTTGCATTTGTGGTCAGTGTGCACGGGGCACTGGCAACAGTCGTGATAATCTTCATTGCAGACAGAGTGCCTACAGGGCAGAGATAGTTTTCCCCTTCCTCCCAACTACGTCCTCCAATTGTACAGGTTTTTTTTTTCTTTTTTTTTAATATGCAAATAAAATGTCTGTTTTAAACAGGAGAGGCAAGGTATTCACCAATAAAAATTGTTCAAGAACTAACAAATTCCAAATGGGGGTGGGATTAATCTCAAATTCAGCTATTTTCCTGCTGTGCTATTTTGGCCTAAAAGTTGTAATTCCCTTATCAATTCCCAGTGTCGTAAATAACTAAGAGCCTTTACTTTATAACTAAAAATACATAGGCAGCTAAGGCATCTCACCACTCTATAATGATGTGCAGCCAAATGTACTAAGCATTGCATGTGACAGGTGCAGATCTGAGGCAGAAGAGATTGTGAAATAGGTATGCACCTATTTAACTTTTACTCTAATGGAACTCAAATGTATATACACCGTTTACAAACTACTCGTGGTTATCTCTTATGTATTTCACCCCACCAATAAAAACCTTTAAAATCTTACCTGACTATACGGTGTACATAAAAAAAACTAAAAGTATAATGCAGAATGTCTTTGACACCAAGTATATGAGTCTAATGACTTCTCCACATCTCCCTTAAAAGGAACACACCAAGCACCATAACCACTACAGGTTTCCTGTTGTGCTGCTCCCCTACCCCCAAGTGTAAAGAATCAAACAGTTTCATTTTTTTACTCTACTGAGCTATGACCAGCATTACAGGACTTGGTCCTGGCATCCTGTGCAGCCAGCTGCAAGGGTAGGGTTTCAGAAAGTATACATGATAATCTGACATCACTGGCATGTCCAGTGATATAAATGTAAAGAATGTTAATAAAACACACCACTGAAAAAAAAAAAATAAAAAAAAAAAACACACGCAGAGGGGAAAAAAGTATTTGATCCCCTGCTGATTTTGAACGTTTGTCCACTGGCAAAGAAATGATCAGTCTATAATTTAATGGTAGGTATATTTTAACAGCAATAGACAGAATAAAAAAAAAAAAATCCAGAAAAATGCATGTCACAAAAGTTATAAATTGATTTGCATGTCAATGAATGAAAAGTATTTGATCCCCTTTCAATCAGCACGATTTCTGGCTCCCAGGTATCTTTTATAAGGTAACAATTAGGAGTGCTCCTAATCTCAGCTCGTTACCTGTATAAAAGACACCTGTCCACAGAAACAATCAATGAAATTCCAAATTTTCCACCATGGCCGAGACCTAAGAGCTGTCCAAGTATGTCAGGGACCAAATTGTAGACCTACACAAGGCTAGAATGGGTTACAAGACCATCACCAAGCAGCTTGGTGAAAAGGCGACAACCTGGTTTCAGTATTCGCTAATGGAAGAAACACAAAATAACAGTCTCCCTCAGTCTGGTGCTCCATGTAAAATCTCACCTTGTGGAGTTTCAATGATCATGAGATGGTGAGGAATCAGCCCAGAACTACATGGGAGGATCTTGTTAATGATCTCAAGGCAGCTGGGACCATAGTCACCGAGAAAACAATTGATAACACACCACGCTGTGAAGGACTGAAATCCTGCAGCACCTGCAAGGTCCCCCTGCTCAAGAAAGCACATGTACAGGCCCATCTGAAGTTTCCCAATGAACATCTGAATGATTCAGAGGTGAACTTTTTGAAAGTGTTGTGGTCAGAAGAGACCAAAATCGAGCTCTTTGGCATTAACTCAACTCTTTGTTTGGAGGAGGAATGCTGCCTATCACCCCGAGAACACCATCCCCACCGCCAAACAAGGAGGTGGAAACATTATGCTTTGGAGGTGTTTTTCTGATAAGGGGACAGGACAACTGCACTGTATTAAAGGGACGATGGACAGGGCCATGTACCGTCAAATCTTGTGTGAGAACCTCCTTCCCTTAGCCAGGGCATTGAAAATGGGTTGTGGATGGGTATTCCAGCATGACAATGACCCAAAATACACAGCCAAGGTAACAAAGGAGTGGCTGAAGAAGAAGCACATTAAGGTCCTGGAGTGGCCTAGCAAGTCTCCAGACCGTAATCACATAGAAAATCTGTGGAGGGAGCTGAAGGTTCGAGTTGCCAAATGTCAGTTTTAAAACCTTAATGACTTGGATAGGATCTGTAAAGAGGAGTGGGACAAAATCCCTCCTGAGATGTGTGCAAACCTGGTGGCCAACTACTAGAAACATCGGACCTCTGATTGCCAACAAGGGTTTTGCCACCAAGTACTAAGTCGAAGGGGTCAAATACTTATTTCACTCAATGACATGCAAATCAATTTAGAACTTTGACATGCTTTTTTTCTGGATTTTTTTTTATTATTATTATTCTGTCTCTCACTGTTAAAATACACCTACCATTAAAACTATAGACTGTTCATTTCTTTGTCAGTGGGCAAACGTTCAAAATCAGCTGGGGATCAAATACTTTTTCCCCTCAAAAAAAAAAAAAAAAAAATTTATATATATACACACACACACACACACACACACATACATACACACACACACATATATATATATTTATGTATGTGTAGCGGATGGCCCTGGGCTGTGCTGAGACTTTCATGTATTTTAATGTGTTCTTTCGTAAAAACAGCAAGTTCTATGTATGTAATGTATTGTATTCGTCTGAATGTTAGGTAGTTTCATTCCCTTAGTTTGTTCGAATGAAACTACCGAACAGTCAGACCTCCCCTGTGTGAAGTGTGTTCTCAATTACCCGTTGCAACATTGTTGCGAACGGGTAATTGACAAGTTAAGTAGCCGTCCTTTGTTCTCGGGGGTGGCCGCCATTCGACAAACGAACACGTGGCGGCGGCCATTTTAAAACTCCCGAACAGCGGTGTTTTGCCGTCGAGTGTCTGGAACTCAAATCGGACACTCGACTAGGCGAACACCGCTGAAACCTCCACAAGCCTGGTCCGTTCGGTTCCTAACTACCGAACGGCCCCTCGTTCGGTAGACAGAAAGAACCGAACGAGGGGATTCAGGCGAACCCTCCCTAGCCTCTAAAGCTAGAGGTTTTCGTGCCATTTATTCCCTGATTCCAGGACCGACCGCAGGGCCCATTCACATGGAACAGCATTCGGCTGTTTCACCCAGTGCGGTCGGTCATTTTATTCCCTCCATAAATTTCCCGAACCCCTGGTCTGATCTGGGTGATTTTTGGATATGTTGTTCACCCAGATCAGAGCTACCAGGGGATGTATGATTTAAAGTGGTACCCCTAAGTTTAGGGGTACATCCAGAAACGGGGGGAATTGGTGTCCTGGATAAGGGGATTATGATGCAGACTGAGGGGAGGAGAGGTGTGGGAGGTTACCAGAGCAGGATTGGCTACTGTACTAATGAATGAAAATCCCTCCCTTGCATGGGAGCAGGCTTTAAAAGGCCACGGTCTGAATAAACAGTTAGTTATGCTCCTGAAACTGTGTGTCGTCCAGTTATTGGGAATTGCTGTTGGGATATCGCTGTTATTTTGCCTGCTGGATACTTTACCCTATGGATTTATAATTGCTTGTTCCTGAGTCTGCCTGGGATCTAAAGTGGAGATAGGCTGTGGAATACCAGCTCTCCGCTACAATATATATCTCTCTATCTCCAACATGTGCTTGGCACTCACATTCCTGTGCTGTTCTTGCCTCGGTGCTATTTCGTGCCCCAATACAACGTCCCAAAGAAATGCATTTCTCTGGACATATATATTCCAAAAACTTGCACTCCTGGTTATAACCAATAAAGCCTGGTGCAGGTTTGGCAAAAATTGTACTACAAAAAAAACACAAGCAAAAGCCGCACTTCCGGGACTTAATATTACAAAATATAAAACGTGGCTTTTATTTACATCAAGCATGTCAAACAAAGTCTGGCACGGGCCATATAAACAAGGTTTAAGTTTATGTGGGCCACAAAAAAAATAATACCTTACATTTTCATAGAAACATAGGTTTATTTTAAAAAGTACAGTATAAAAAAAAAAAAAGAAAGAAAGAAACAGCCTCCCCCTCTACCACCCTGTGCCAAATCTGATCCTTCCACTGACACACACACTGACTGACAGACACACATACTTTACTTTATTGGGCATCTCCCTGGGGTCCTTCTATTTGCTCCTCACTGCTCCCACTCACGGTTTAGTGATGCTGGGTGCCGGAATATGACGTCATATTACGGAACCCGGCTTCACTACAGACGGCGCGCCGGAGCAGTTAAGAGCAGGAACACTAAGCTCCCTCGCTGGCCGTCCTCCCCAGCCAGGTAAGTTTTAGCAGAGTAGGCACGTACAATGTGGGGAAAGCAGGTGCCTACTCTGCTATAACATCAGCATAACTCGCGGCTCACCATTACATGATCCAATAAAATTTCAACGTTTCAGCTCCCAAAAAAGCTTTCCTCAGGACAACACAAAATAATTGCTATTTAGTAGATATACCTCCAATGAAAACATGCTATATACCATATTTTAACTCTTAATAGTCGCAGATTTTATGCCAAATCTATTTGGTAAAAAGTAGGGTGCGACCATTATTAGAAGCTTTATTTTGTGACATTAGATGTGACCATTATGCGATGCTTTGTTTTTATTGCCTAATGTTATATGCGACCATTATGTGAAGCTTTTTTGTTTTTGGTAATCGTTTAACAGTTGCTGATAACATAGTTGCTCAGAACTCATTTAGAACTATTTCCTAACTCATTACACAAACTCTGATTCTGAACCCTGTCTCCCAATTGTGATTGACAAAGCGCATGCGCAGAGAATTCTAGGCTTGCAGCTCGCAATGCACGAGAGATTTGGCAGTAAATGTGTATCCATATGCCACTGGTGAATACGTACCATTGCTGCTTTGTTTACTTTCAGCGGCATGACTGCTCACTGGCTCCTGTAAAAGGTCTTCTAACAGAGCACGCCTGCCACTTCCGGTAGCTCAGTGGAGCACACCTGCCACTTCCGGTAGCTCAGTGGAGCTAACAGAGAGGAAGCAAATCTTCCTGGATGTATAATTGAAAGTCAGGGTGTAGTTTCATTCATTATAAAAAAATTTCATATAAACTTGAATGTCTTGAATATCAGCATTTAAAGATCAAGAGCAGAAGTCAAACCTTTTTTTATGGTCAGATGCTTTCAGTCAATGAATGATCTGAAAAGTTGCACAACATTTATATAGCTAAAGAGGAATGAGGACTTCCACTCTATCTGTAGCATGTAGAACAGAGAGAGCATGAATGTCAACAAGTGTCAAGCCATTTTAAAGCAGCACGGTCATGCCGAACTTACCTTTCTCCCAGTTGCTTCCTCTTCTCTCCCTCTCTCAGGATCTGTTTTTCATTTCTTCCTGTCTGCACAAGTTTTATTTAAAACATAAGAAAGTAGGGACTATTTTTAAAAAAAATTTTATCTATTTTTCCTACACTTGACCAGCTATGACCCAGGGGAGGAGCAAAGCCCGCCCAATTTCCTGAGGTCAAAGCAATTTCCCCACAATTCTCACCTTCCGTTCAAACGCCCGCGAAACTACCAAATTGTCTTAACAGAATGAGAACAGTTTGTCCTTTTGTGTTAGGACGAAATTTGTGACTTTTGTTCGGATTGGAATTTCATTCAAATGAACTCTGATCCTAATCGTGCCGCAAGTAGATAGCTCCCTAATACCGTGGCAGTTGGGGAGCTATCTACTAAAAGGCTGAATGAACTAAATTGGTCTTTCAGCCAAATTTACTAATACCAAGTAAAGATTACTTAGTATTTGTAATAAATCTGCCCCTACTCGCTATACCGTGAGTAGAGGCATGTCTAATAAACAGTGAGCAGCCAGTGGCTGCTCACTGTTGTAAAGAAGACACCCCACTACTTCAATAAAGTGCACGTATATAAAAATAATTAACAGGAAGGGGGAGTGGTGTGTTCTAAACGGCACTTTAATAAAGTAGGGAGGGGGGTCTTCTTTACTGGCTGCTCACTGTTTATTAGAAATGCCCCTACTCACGTTATAGCGAGTAGGGGCAGATTCATTACTAATACTAAGTAATCTTTACTTAGAATTAGTAAATTTTGGCTGCAAGCCCAATTTAGGTCTTGTAGCCTTTTAGTAGTTAGCTCCCTAATACTGTAGCAATTACGGAGCTATCTACTCGCGGCATGAATAGGATCAGAGTTTCATTCATTCATTCAAATTAAATTCCTTTCCAATCAAAAGTCCAGAATTTCGTCATAACACGAATGGACAAAGTAAGTCCGGCATGATAATGCCGCTTTAAATTAAAATGTAAACAAATGTGTTTTTTGTTTTTTTTTTAAAAACTTGATTCCTTACAGTTGGATATTGTAAGCTATAGTGGTTATGGTACTCTGAGTACTCATAATAAAATAAAATGATAAGGCTTTTATTACCTGATAGCATCACTAGAAAAAGAAGGAGCAGTGCATAACAGGCTTGCTACCAGTGCTACAAACAGTTAGACAGTTCAACTGCGGTCTATAAAATATTCAGGAAACACGGAGTGCTCCAAAATTAATATGCAAATGATATTTTTCTCATTTACCTAAATAATTGATGTAAATAACAGTCAGCATAATTCTCACATTATCACCTATTAAGAGTACAATTCAAATTTTATTAAACAAACCTCCTAATGATAACAGTATTTTTTTTTTAAAACCTAAACTTACAATGCACTGTTCCAAATGATTACGCACAGTAAGTTTCAAAACACTTTATAGGTTGTAAAGAACTGAAAATTGTCATTTGTTGTGTTTGCAGCATATTTACTGAAATCAAAAGCTATTCAATCAAACTTATAACAACATTTTAACTTTTTAAACATTTCAACAGGTCACGTTACATTTTAACATAGGACCTCTTATTTGATAGCAGCTTCACAAGTCTTGCATCCATTGAACGTGGGGTTTTTGGACAGTTTCTGCTTGAATTTGTTTGCAAGATGTCAGAATAGCCTCCCAGAGCTGCTGTTTGTATGTAAACTGCCTCCCACCCTCATAGATCTTTTGCTTGAGGATGCTCCAAAGGTTCTCAAAAGGATTGAGGTCAGGGGAGGATGGAGGCCACACCATGACTTTCTCTCCTTTTATCCCCATAGCAGCCACTGATGCAGAGGTATTCTTTGCAGCATGAGATGGTGCAATGTCATGCATGAAGATGATTTTATTACGGAAAGCATAGTTCTTCCTTCTGTACCAGGGAAGAAAGTGGTCAGTCAGAAACTCCACATACTTTGCAGAGGTCATCTTTACACCTTCAAGGACCCTAAAGTGGCCGACCAGCTCTCTTCCCATGATTCCGGCCCAAAACATGACTCCACCACCACCTTGCTGACATCGCAGCCTTGTTGGAACAGGGTGGCCATCCACTATTCCATCCATCTGGACCAAGCAGGGTTGCACGGCACTCATCAGTGAACAGGACTGTTTGAAAATTAGTCTTCATGTATTTTTCTGCCCAATGCAGCAGTTTCTGCTTGTGAGCATTGGTTAGCGGTGGCCGAATAGAAGGTTTATGCATAGTTGAAAGACTCTGGAGGACTCTACACCTTGATGTCTGTGGGACTCCAGATGCACCAGCAGCTTCAAATATCTGTTTGCTGCTATGTAATGGTATTTTAGCAGCTGCTCTCTTGATCCGATGCATGGATCTAGCAGAAATCTTCCTCAATGTGCCTTTATCTGCACGAACCCGTTTGTGCTCTGAATCAGCCACAAATCTCTTAATAGTGCGATGATCCTTTAGTAGTTTTTCCTTAAATTGGGCTTACCTGGCAATCTAATTATCACAGGTGTCAGATTGTTTTCAGTGATCAAAAGAGCCCTGAGACACAATGCCATCCAGGAGTTAAACTGAAAAACAAAATATTTAATCTTTGTGACAGAAATAGAATTTGCATAATAATTTGGAACAGGGTGTAATAATATATGCTACAAGCAATCAAAAAGATATTTCATGACAGCCCACATTTAACCCCCTCCCCCATCCAGAAAAAAAACAAACAAACCACAATACTAACTGATTGATGACACGTGCTTCTTTGCATTCATGTCCCAAACCCAAGAGGCCACTTCTCTCTACCAACTGAATAGGTCATGTTCTGATTCTTCAAACCTTAATCCCAGGTAAGAGAGTTTCAATTTCATAAAATATAATTTTTTACAAAAAAATAAATGGCACTTTGTAGCACTATACTGCCTTCTCTTTAAAACCGCTTAAAGGAGCAGGGAAAGCAAGCTGCAAATTAAACTATAAACTAAACCCATGAAGATTTAAGAGGTACTGATCCATTTCAGAGAAAGGGTTAATAAAGAAAATCTTTTTCGTTCCACAGCTCAAGGCCTCCTAGATAGAACGCCAGAGAGACGGGAAACCAGTTTTAATAGGAAGGGATGCCTGTGTGGGGCGAGGAAGAAATTATAGTTAAATCTCCCCCTGCTGTCTCCCACAAAGACATGCTCAGATGTTACAAAGGAATAAATGGGTGAAGTTGACAGTCATTATTACTTGCTGCATTACCAAAAAAAAAAAGCTTTATTGTTATAATGTGAAATGAGCTCCTACTATGAGATCACCTGCTTTATTTACCCTCAGACAACCAATGTCAAGCTGTAATCCATCCTAGTCAGTGCCATTTATTATGCCTATGAAAAAAATGCAGCAGAGAATCATCCAATACTATTGTTTTCAGAAAGTATACATTCTCTTACTCTGCCAAAAGAGATTCACTACACGACAGTTCATTCTGTAATAATTCGACGTTAAAATTCTGTGAGTTTAAAAGCAGACATTTTTTCTTTTCAAGTGCATGAACCAAAATTAAGTTTCCATTTAGTATGTGACTCCAAGCTTTCCTATGATGAGAACTCCAATACAGATCTGGTAAACTTTGCACTCAGTCTTTAGGAAAATGTAGTCACAGATCTAGGATATTTGTATGGATAGTATTCTGCATTATTTTCAATCCTTTTTCTTTTCAGATATTATTGAATTTTTTATAATTACATAACACTATAGTAAACAGTTAGTAGAATACAATATATCTATAAAGAATGAATATCAAATAAAATGTTAATATGAAAGAATGAAAGTATCAATTAAGCAATATTGACCATATAAAACAAAAAAGAAAATAGAAGAGAAAAAGGGAAGGTAGGGTAGAACTTCAATCATTTTTCTATAGAATGCTGGACACAACAGAAATCTCCTAAGCACTGCACCAAATCTTAATATGTTTAACTAATTGCAACCCCTTAGTGACCGCGGACGTACAGAGTACGTTGGAGAAAAAATGGTCGTTAACGACTGCTGATGTACCCTGTACATCTGCGGCAAATATAAGCGCTCAAAGCGTTCAGGATCGCTTTCAGCAACTCTAAGGTTATTGCAACGATGTCTCGATGTCTAGGCATCCTGCAATACCTCCCCTCTGACTGCCGGGCCACTGGGTGATCATTCCCCGGGAGCGATCACTTCTGGGTTGCTCCACGTGGCGCCCGGCAGTGAGGCAGAGCATCGGAAGTCATCAGGCAGGCTTCCGATGTTCTGCCTGTCTGCTCAGTGCCTCGAGGAGTCAAGGCACTTAGTAAAATTAATAAAATAAAAAATATAAGTAAATACTTACCCGATCACCGCCGTTCCCCCGCCGGCAAATCGGTCGTTGTCTTCTCCACCTGGGGGGGACTGTCTGACAGCCCAAACGGTCACCCTCTACAAATTAGGCCCCAGCGGGTCATGTGATCGCTCAAAAAGAGCGGTCACATAGCCACAATAGGCATCTGCCTGAACTGACAGGCAGTCCCCCTGCTGGTGAAAAACGTTTTAATTAAAAAAGAGACACAGACAGATAGACACACACTTATTTATATAGACATATTAATGTAAAAATACTAGGGGGAAACTTAAACATGTAAATATATATATATATATATATATATATATATATATATATATATTGTATATATTATAACAAATGAAAAATTAGAAAAATGCAAAAATACTATATATAATTTGTATTTTGATAATATATATTTATATCAAAATACACTTCGAATGAAATTTTATATATATCTATGTATATATAAATAAAAATACAAAATATACATAATTACATAAATCATTTTACAAATATATACGTAGAGTTCACATATATTTAATATGTATATAAATTTAAATTCTACGTGCATATTTATGTAATATTTTTACATAATTAAGTAATTTTATTAATTGCAATCTGAGGGACCTGCCTGACAACCCAGGCCGAAAGTCCAGAGAATTTAATTTGCTAGCACTGTGTTTAACCCTGTAACTTTCCAAGACATCCTAAAACCTGCCCATGGAGAGGGGGGGGGGTACTGTTTTACCCGGTAGACTTTCCTGAACACAAATATTAGTGTTTCAAAACAGTAAAACATATCACAGTGATTATCAGTGAAAGGTACATTTTTTGCATTTTACACACAAACTGCACTTTCACTGATGATATTCTTGTGATATCATCACAATATCACTGTTTTGTGTTCAGCGAAGTCTCCAGAGTATAACAGTTCTCTCCTCCCCCCCACCCCCCATGTACAGGAGTTTGGGTTTGTTTTTTTTGTAATTCTTTATTTTATTTGTGCATAGGTTATACATGAAAGTTTGCACTGCCACAACAGCTGGAGCAAACATATCAATAGGCATAGAGAACATTGCACTTTTTTCTTTTTTTTTTTTTAAAGAAGGAATAGATATTATTAAACAAGAAGCTCCCATGTCACAGCAGTTAATGGACATAGTAAAATATGTGGTGGGTGACATGTAGACATGAGTATTACTAATAAGAGTGCTTGGTATCGAAGAGCATATATGTCAAGAATATCTGCACTAGTTTTGGAAAGAGAAAGTAAAAGAAATACATGAAAAATAACAACGGTAGGCATAACAGCAAAGTACACCCTAGAGGCCCCCCATCGGAAAGAGGAGCATAGAGGGATAGGACAGTTGTCTCAAGACCACCAGGCACAGGCAATAGACCCAGACTGGCATAAGCCCAGACAGACATGACGCAGAATATCAGTAAGTAAAACAGGTGTGGAAATATGGGCCTGTTCCTATGGCTCGATTCCCTGGCCCGTCTCATCCCATGCCCTTCAAGGGCCGAGCGTAGTTATGATCCAGGAGGATAAGCAGTAGGTCCGGGACTTCAGAAGAAGGCAGGTCCGTCGCCAGACTTGGGAGGCTCTGCGGTACCTTTGGCATCCCATATGTTCCAACCTTTCTGCACCTTGACAGAGTGCGTCGCCAGCCCCGCCGCCGTGAGTAGGCCCTCACCACGTGTAGACCGGGGACTCCTAAGAGGGACTGTGAGGTGAGTGGAAGCTTAGTTGTAGTGGTACAGGTTGATGCCTCCTGAGTTCCAGCCGCCGCCAGAAGTCATGGAAAAGCCCATCCACTGTCTGTAGTGAGCCATGCGGTCTCTGCCATCTTATGTTTGCTTGTTGTCAGGATTTCGTCCTGCTAACCCACCCAAGTTGACTGGCCTACCAGAAGGGGACAGGGATCACCCACGCCGGTCCAAGAGGTGGGTGGGGGTAGTGGGGCACTTGTGCAGGCTACCAGCCACCTGGGCATCCCCGGTACAGGAGATCAGCCGTTTCCCCCGACCAGTGCACATCAGGCCGCATTTGCCACGGAGGGGTCATCACACTTTCGTCTAATCACCAACCACCTTCCCGCAGAGCAGGCAAGTCAGGCAACACAGATTTTGCTTGTGCAGTCCCAGGTCGGGCCATAATATACTTTAGAAAGCTTTGTTTAGTAGGCTTGTGGAGGAGCCAGTCTGAGAAGCGCCCATCCTCCATGACACTCAGGCCCTGCCACCCGCCACGTACAGGTTTAATAGTATTTTTGAAAGTTACAGGGTCAAATATAAGGCTTGATTTTCCATTTTTGCACACTGAAATTTTCCAGATTGCTTATGTTGCCTTTGAAAGCCTTTGAAAGCGAATGGTAGCCCAGGAATGAGTATTACCCCCTGATGGCATACCATTTGCAATAGAAGACAACCCAAGGTATTGCAAATGGGGTATGTTCAGTCTTTTAGTAGCCACTTGGTCACATACACTGGCCAAAGTTAAAGTTCATAATAGTTTTTTGTATTTTTAAACACACAAACAAATATAAATGCTAACTTTGGCAAGTGTTTGTGACTAAGCAGCTACTTAAAAAAAGACTGGACATACCCCATATTAAACATCCTGGGTTGTCTACTTTAAAAAAAAAAAAAATATGTACATGTGAGGTGTGATTCAGAGATTTGTGACAGATAACAGTGTTACAATGTCACTACTGATATATTTTAAAAATATATATTTCGAAACAGAAATGTCCTACTTGTACTTATAGTCTTCTAACTTTCCAAAAAAACTAAGAACATGTTAACCATAGGTATTTCTAAACTCAGGATAAAATTTAGCACAGGTGTTTTTTGGCGGTTGTAGATGCGTAACAGATTTGGGGGGGTCAAAGTTAGAAAAAGTGTGTTTTTATTTTTTCATCATATTTTATAAAAAAAATTTATAGTAAATTATATGATATGATGAAATTAATGGTATCTTTAGAAAGATCATTTAATCGCAAGAAAAACTGTAAATATTATGTGTGGGTACAGTAAATGAGTGAGAAGAAAATTACAGCTAAACACAAACACATCAGAAATTTAAAAACAGCCCTAGTCCTTAAAGGACCACTATAGTGCCAAGAAAACATACTCGTTTTCCTGGCACTATAGTGCCCTGAGGGTACCCCACCCTCAGGGTCCCCCTCCCGCCGGGCTCTGGAGAGAGGAAGGGGTTGAAATCTTACCTTTCTCCAGCGCCGGGCGGGGAACTCTCCTCCTCTATTGCGACGTCATCGGCTGAATTCGCATGCACGGCAGTCGCCGCGCGCGCATTCAGCCAGTTCATAGGAAAGCATTTACAATGCTTTCCTATGGACGTTGGCGTCTTCTCACTGTGATTTTCACAGTGAGAAGCACGCAAGCGCCTCTAGCGTCTGTCAATGAGACACCCACTAGAGGCTCTAGAGGCTGGATTAACCCTCAGTGTAAACATAGCAGTTTCTCTGAAACTGCTATGTTTATATAAAAAATAAAAATAAAAAAAAAAGTGTTAACCCTAGCTGGACCAGGCACCCAGACCACTTCATTAAGCTGAAGTGATCTGGGTGCCTATAGTGGTCCTAACAGTAAGAAAATTGAAAATCGGTCTGGTCATTAAGGGGTTAAAGTGCTATTCATAGCAGAAGAGACTATGCGTGTTAATAAGTGAAAGTAAACATCTCCTGGCTGAATTTCATGTTCTGGAGTAATCCCTTCCCCTACATTTGTAAATAACGTCCATGGATGGTGAGAGCAGTCCAATGCAATGATGGCTATAAGCACCGACCCTGCGATAAGGGAGATTGGCACTGGAATCTGGCGAGTAAATTAAGAGGTTTGTTTGTTTGTTTTATTAAGTTGAGCTGCAAGGATGACCAACTGCTACACTGTCATCACAATCTTGCCCCTCTATACCAATGCCAAAAAATATTTAGCTTTGTCTGCTCTACCCAGCATTACAGCAAGTAAATGAGTGGGTCATTGCAATTTTGAATATTATCCTTATAGGGTTAATATATAACCTTTTTTAAGAGGCGAGAACTTTCTGGTGTAATATGCCCTATTGGAAACAATGGGGAAGGTCACTCCTTATTTTTCAGTAAAACTTGTTAAAAAAAAAAAAAAAAAAAAAGCTTTCACTTACCTGAATTACAGCTCAGTTCTGTTTTTCCATGCCCCCCTCCTGATTTCACTGGGGCCATGCACAATCTAATCATAGACATGTCTGTGATTGGAGCTTTTTGCCAACTCAGAGGTTATACACAGAATTGACATGTCATGTGTGCAACTAGCCACAGCACACAATGATGAATATCTCAGTATGTGCAATGTTTCAAACTTGAACACTGCACATACAGACTCCTACCACCATGACCACTTCAAATCACTGAGGTGGTAATGGTGGATGGAGTAAATCCTTTTAATGAATAAACCGATAGCTATGAAAGCAACAAATATATTGGGGTCAGGAAGACACGTCTTTAGTTTAACAATAGATTATTTAACAATAGATTGTGGCAGCAGATATAGCTCACATTGCTCATATTGTCTTTCTATCACTTATCCTAAAACAGGGGTTTTAGCCTGTGTCCTACTCAGAACAGCATTGTGCCTGTTACCAAGCTTTCTTTGAATGCCTCAAACAGTTGCATTCATTTGCATCTCTATCTGCAGTAACTTGGCAATGGTTCAATGATCGGTCTAAACTCAAGTGTTCTGTATAGCTCATTGCACAATGTGATCATATTCTGTGAAGAACCAAGGAAACTAGATTTCTCTGGATACTGGAAACTGTGAATGAGTTCGGCAAATCACTTGAGAATGACAAAAAACAAACCCCCCCAAAAATAGTTTGGAACGACTGTATACATAATCCTTGTACCATAAAGTACACGCTATTTCAGGTTATGTGTTTTGTGTACATGCTCACTACAAAAAAAGTATAACCCTCTTCTGATTTATAAAACAGTATATATATATATACACATATACATACACACACACAGCCTCTATATTTTTACAAAAACTTCACTCTAGCCAATCTGAACCAAATTAATACACAAACCACACAAAACCTTTATGAAGTACAACATTCATATCCTGCAAAAAAAAATTTTTTTTTTTTAAATTCTGAATTTCGTGTGAATGCCTGTCCAATAGTGTCCGTAAAACATTATTTGAATGCTCAAACTATATTCCTTAAAGGCAGGGCTTGATAAATTTGTTTTAAATCTAGGAGCCCCCCGAAATTACAATTCTTAAGGGAACACTACAGTTACCAGAACCACTACAGCTTAATGTAGTTATGGAGTCTATAGCCTGTGCGTGCAGGCTTTTCAATGTGTTTACACTGCTGCCTAGTAACACCTCGTTACTCAAACGTTATGAGATTCTAAAGTCTTTGCATGGAGGCACTAAACATTCCTCATAAAGATGCACTGATTTCATGCATCTCTATGATGAAATGCTGATTGGTGCTGCATTTTGCAGCGCATGCTCAATAGTTTCCCAATATGTTCCGATGGGAAAACATTGGATTGGCTGAGAAAATCGAGATTGCTAATCTCCGCTATGGAGGCAGGCCAGACCCGGCAAGATCAGCAAAGCGTTGGAAAAAGGAGAGTAAAAACACCATCCCCATATGATTGGAAGGGGGCTGGTGACATAAACATACACATTCACTGACAGGCATAAGCACGCGCACACACTGACGGACAGACATATGCACACTCACTGACATACACCCATTCTCTCACACACTCACAAAGTATTTTTTTACTTATTTTTTTTGTTTGATACACTCAAATAGATATGTATACACACACACACACACACACACACACACAAACAGAAATAAAAAAATAAATAAACATTTTTAGCCACCCTCCTGTTTCTTACCTTTTGGGCGTCGGAAGGGTACAGTAGGACTAGGCAGCAGCAGCTGGTGACAGTGGACCTTGCTGTGGCTGATGGTAGTGGGCTGCCGCTATTAAAGAACTGTAATTACTTCCTCCCAGCGCTGAGGTCGCGCAGGTGAATGGGTGTGTAGGAGGCCGGCTCTGTGAAATGGGGACAGGCACAAGTCCTGCTCTGTGGAAGGGTGGCACGCGGCAAGCAGAGCCGTCGTCAGCTGGAGCCCTGCCAGCTTGCAACGCCCCTGCATCGACCTCAGTGCAGTGAGGAGGAAATTGCAGTTCCTTTCACTTCCTTCTGGAGCTGCACGGGGATGGAGGGAAAGGGCTGACAAATCCAGGTGTCTGGGCCAAGGTTTCTTAGTCGCCTTGGCGACCTGGAGACTGCAGGGTCATGATGTATACACAAAACTGCTTCAATAAGCCAAAGTTGTTTTGACGCCTATAGTATCCATTTAATATTACAGTTTTGCAAAACTCATGTTGCAACTGGTTTAATAATTATAGTATGCATAAAATTGAAACAATATGGATAATAAATCATCTATGCAACCAACAATTTATTTAGATTTCGCTCTTGTAGTGAAAACCTGTAATAGGTCTTTTTTTTTTCCTTTTTTTGGGAGTACTAAACAGCAATCCTAGTAATGCCTCATTAAGTGTCCCAAAAGTATACATTTCTATATAATGATAGATCTTTGGGTACCATACTTTCATACTCCCTCCTCTATAAACATCACATATAAGACTACTGCTAGAACTACAAACAGTCTTTCTACAGGCTTTACTCACAAACTCTGAAATGCAGAGATTTAAAAAACAAATTGCTAAATTTGGGCTCAAATATCCAAACTGTGACTATAGCAGAGATCAAAAATATTTCCAAATCAGCACTTTATGATGTCACCCATTCACATTTTCCACATTTTACAAGTACATATCTTTTAAATACATGTGATAAAACAGAATACACACAAGAGATCAGGGGGAGCGACTGTACATTTACTATGAAAGTTTAGAAGATTTTAGAAATACTCCACCTATTCAATAGAGCACATTTTATTCACATCATTCATGGTCAAAATAACAATGACATGTCAATTAACTGATGGAGCAAGTTAAAAAGAATTGAATTTAAAAAAAATAAAAAATAAAAAACACATTCCTACCTCTGCACAATTCACCATCTGTATACCTCTACCTGGGGATCATTCTTTTACCTAAAATAAACAGGGGGAAAAAATGAATGAAGCAAAGTCAGGCAGCATATGTATGCATTTGAAAAAATTACAACCCACAAATATTCAAATTTAAACATAAGTTATACACACACGTGATCCCAACACTGTCCCAAGTGTAATAACACAGACTTGCAATAAATGTTCTGTCACAAGCAATTCTAATACCTCATACTGTAGGGTGAAACTTTCTGTATACACCAAACAGAAAATAGGAATATGGGGCTTTAAAACTAAATTAAAACAGAATGGCAAAAATATTTACAAAAGGAGTTATTTTAGTCAAATATTGCTATTCAAATTTCAATGCACTACAATTTAGAGTTTAGTTAAAGACTTATCGGCATGTCAATGCTTTTATTTTTTTTAAACAAAGAAGGCAACATGCAAGCAGGAGGCAAGCTGGGTAGATCTAAATTGGTTGGTTAATGCACCAACAGAGGACAGGTTAATTTTATGTGAGTCAATTCATCTTTCAGCAGCATGATTACCTATTGAAATTGCTAAGGAATAATAGACAAGACAAACTTAAGAACATAGTCATCCTTGCAGGCTGAAATTGCAGTTACAATATCAGCATATTATAGAAGCATTTAACTATTTCGATAATAGACTACTGCCTGCAAATCCCCCCAGGCCCCTTATCAAGCACTGTTTTGTCAGAAGGCAAAACAGCATGCAGCAGGTGGACCAGCTATGTGCTTCCAAATAAATCAGATTACCTTCTTCCCAGCAAAACATATGTTGAACCTTTACAAACGTTATGTGCTTTACATAATGCAGACCTTGCACTATTAAATTATTGCGAGAGAGAGAGAGAGAGAGAGAGAGAGACAGAGAGAGAGAAAACAAAACACAAGCTGCTCAACAAACAATGCTGCTAAGTATCATATAATAATATGACACACCTATAAAGCACATTGGAATAAGAGAAAAAGAATGCTACTATTTCTTAAATTGACAATCATTTTTGTTTCTGTAAATTACCTACCCATCTTTAGTTATCAAGTAACATAAAACAAGGTTTATGCTGTGGAGCACAACATAATCTGTATATTACATTGAGCTTATTATTATTATTATTATTATTATTATTATTATTATTATTATTATTATTATTAGTTCTTATTGCCATCTACTTATTAAGATGTCTATTAACCTCCAACACACACACAGTATTATTTTTATTATTTAGGTGGCCACTTTATATTTATGCAGCTGGAAGGTTTGTTTATTTTTAGAGATAGATTAGGAATGTGGCAGGAATTAAATCCTGAGTCATTCAGCCCCAATACTGGGTTCATATATTTCAAGATCAATATCATGAGGTTTAAATCTCAAATTTCAGATTGGTTTCTTCAGCTGGGACGAAAGCAAAATTCATCCATATTAGAGCCCCATGATGATTTTACATAATTTTCATTAAAGTGCCAACATATACCAGAGCTGTGTAATGAGTAAATGAAACAAATAACTGCAAAAAAAACGCTCAATTTTGCAATGCAAAGTAAATGGTCAGTAAATAATTCCATAAACATTTAGCTTGTTTTCCGCTCTTTTCCAGGAAATTATACAATGTAACTTTCAATGTAAGAACAATGGGGGCTTGAATGCACACCTCTCTCACATCCTATCAGGCTGTCTGCAATACGCATTCTGAAGTGTTAAATTAAGAGGACACTATAGTCACCCAGACCACTTCAGCTCAATGAAGTGGTCTGGGTTCCATGTCCCCCAGGTTTTAACTCTTCAGATGTAAATATAGCAGTTTCAGAGAAACTGCTATGTTTACATTGCAGGGTTAATCCAACCTCTAGTGGCTGTCTTCCTGACAGCCGCTAGAGGCGCTTCTGCGACACTGGATGCGAAAATCGCATCAAGCGTGCAGAACGTCCATAGAAAAGCATTGAGAAATGCTTTCCTATGGACTGTTTGAATGCTCGCCACTCCGGAGCTGACATCGGACAACGCCAAGGGAGGGGGACCCTGAGGATGATATAGTGTCAGGAAAACAAGTTTGTGATCCTTTAAATGACCACTATAGACACAAAGACCGCTTCATCACATCATGAAGTGGCCTGAATACACATTTCTATTCCCAATGTGTTCCTTTAAAACAAGCATGTCAAACTCAAAGGCTAACACAGGCAAAATAAACAAGGCTTAAAGGACCACTATAGTGCCAGGAAAACCATACTCGTTTTCCTGGCACTATAGTGCCCTGAGGGTGCCCCCACCCTCAGGGACCCCCTCCCGCCCGGCTCTGGAAGGGGGAAAAGGGTTAAAAACTTACCTTTTTACAGCGCTGGGCGGAGAGCTCTCCTCCTTCTCTCCTCCTCCGATCCTCCTCCTGGGCTGAATGCGCACGCGCGGCAAGAGCTGCGCGCGCATTCAGCCCGTCGCATAGGAAAGCATTTACAATGCTTTCCTATGGACGCTTGCGTGCTCTCACTGTGAAAATCACAGTGAGAAGCACGCAAGCGCCTCTAGTGGCTGTCAATGAGTTTCTCTGAAACTGCTATGTTTATTAAAAAATGGGTTAACCCTAGCTGGACCAGGCACCCAGACCACTTCATTAAGCTGAAGTGGTCTGGGTGCCTAGAGTGGTCCTTTAAGTTTACGTGGGCTGCAAAAAAAAAAAAAAGTTCGACCTAGACCAACACAAACTAAAATGACTTGTATCATTCTCATGCAAACAATATGTAATCCTGGGTACAAAATATATTTTACTCAAAAGCTTCACTGCAAGTTACTTACTATGCCCCCCACCAATCTAAAACACAGACTTCCGCCCTCCCCTCTAATACACTGCCCCCCCCCCTTCCATCATCAATCTAATACACTTCCCCCTCCTTTCACTCTAATTTAAAACACCGCCCCCCCTCCTAATTTAATTCACTGCCTCCCATCCTCCCCCCACTTCAATACACTGCCCCCTCCTTCCCATCCTCCCGCCGCCCAATTTAATACACTGTCCCCCTCCCAATACATTACACTACAGGAAGGTTCCCCCACCTTAAGCCGTCTTCCAGTCCAGCCCTGCACGATCTTCCCTGCTCAAGCAGGCCACATGCTTCTCTGGCAATGTGAGCAGCAGGGAAGGGGGAGTTGTTGCTCTGCACACAGCCAGCCACTCTGAACATTGTAATGCCGCCACGCCAGATATGACTCCATACGCTGTATGCGCATGTCTGGCTGCCGGCCTGAAAGAATTTTTTGTGCTCTTGCACGCGATCGGCCACAGCCAGTAGGAGGGCAACAGCACAAAGCGACCCTAGGGCAGGCGGCCTACCGGGAAATTTCCCGGTATCCCAGTAGGCCAGACAGTCCCTGGGCCGAAAAAATACTCACGATGGGCATCAGACATTCATTCAAATGACTCTTTCATAGATAAAAGGAGGAGGCCACCAATTAGTATGTGATGATCTCCTCCAATGAAGGAAAAGTAGCAAGAGTAGAGAGAAATTAATATATCAACAGGAGAAATCACATTTGCCCCTGTGCGGCTTTCTCTGGACAAGCTTGTCACATTCCCATGTCATATCAGATTCTAGTACATGTGACAAACATGCATATTCAGTTGCATACGGCCAACACAGAAAAGGCTAGGATATCCACCGGTCAACTGTATCAGTGTTTCAGCTACCTCCTTCCACTGTGATGTGCCAGAAGAGTGGATGCCGAGACATATTGTTATATGTATTGGGTTTTTTTTGTGACCATTATTGGCGAAGCAGCTTCCTTCTGATCCATACAAGACATTACATGGCATGTGGACGCTACCTCAAAGCTTTTTAAGAAGGGGCTTGCACATGATAAAAACCATGGGTACAAACACATGGATCAATATTCCATGCAGTGTACAACTTCAAACAGCCTACAGCTGGACTACGAGTCAATAAAATCTCTTCATAGTGCTCCCAAGGAAAGCCGTGAGTGAACCTTAACTGCCTGCATCAGGGTAATATTACTTTTATTCAATACATTATTTAAATGAGCACTGCAATTGTGGAACGACCTCCCGCACAATTTAAAATCATCCCTAACCCTAAAGTCCTTTAACCCCTTAAGGACCAAACTTCTGGAATAAAAGGGAATCATGACATGTCACACGTCATGTGCCCTTAAGGGGTTAAGAGATACCTGAAAACAGAATGCACCTGTCATGGTTGATTATATATTTCCTACCTGTTCTAAGTTAAATTTTGTATGTATTGTGTATTAATATTGTTTTTGTATTTTATTGTACCCTAATGTAACAATGCAATGATTTGTGGACCCAGGACATACTTGAAAATGAGAGAAATCTCAATGTATCTTTCCTGGTAAAATATTTTATAAATAAATAAATAAATAAAAAGTACTTACTTGAGTAAGTTTAAAGGAACACGTCAAACACCATGACTACTACAGTGCCAGTATAATCTGTCAAACAATTTTAGCATGGTTTCACAGTTACCTAGGTTTCGCCAGGCACTGGTCTACTTCGAGATGTATGTTTAAAGACCATTACAGCTAATGTTAAAGGGACACTATAGTCATCTGAACAACTTTAGCTTAAAGGACCACTCTCGGCACCCAGACCACTTCAGCTTAATGAAGTGGTCTGGGTGCCAGGTCCAGCTAGGGTTAACCCATTTTTTAATAAACATAGCAGTTTCAGAGAAACTAATATGTTTATTAATGGGTTAAGCCTTCCCCCTATTCCCTCTAGTGGCTGTCTCATTGACAGCCACTAGAGGCGCTTGCGTGCTTCTCACTGTGATTTTCACAGTGAGAGCACGCCAGCGTCCATAGGAAAGCATTATGAATGCTTTCAACCGACTGAATGCGCGCGCAGCTTGCGCGCGCGTGCGCATTCAGCGGCGGAGAGGAGAGGGAGGCGAGAGCTCTCCCAGCGCTGGAAAAAGGTAAGTTTTAACCCCTTTCCCCCTTCCAGAGCCGGGCGGGAGGGGGTCCCTGAGGGTGGGGGCACCCTCAGGGCACTATAGTGCCAGGAAAACGAGTATGTTTTCCTGGCACTATAGTGGTCCTTTAATGAAGCAGTTTTGGTGTATAGAACATGCCCCTGCAGCCTCACTGCTCAATCCTCTGCCATTTAGGAGTTAAATCCATTTGTTTATGAACCCTAGTCACACCTCCCATGTGACTTGCACAGCCTTCCATAAACACTTCCTGTAAAGAGAGCCCTATTTAGGCTTTCTTTATTGAAAGTTCTGTTTAATTAAGATTTTTTTATCCTCTGCTATGTTAATAGCTTGCTACACCCTGCAAGAGCCTCCTGTATGTGATTAAAGTTCAATTTAGAGATTGAGATACAATTAGGTAAATTACATCTGTTTGAAAGTGAAACCAGTTTTTTTTTTTCATGCAGGCTCTGTCAATCATAGCCAGGGGGAGTGTTGCTAGGGCTGCACAAACAGAAACAAAGTGATTTAACTCCTAAATGACAGTGAATTGAGCAGTGAAATTGCAGGGGAATGATCTACACATGAAAACTGCTTCATTTAGCTAAAGTAATTTATGTAACTATAGTGTTCCTTTAAGCCTTAACATTAGGGACGAAGCTTGGCAAACTCTAACATATATAAATAGATTCATAGGATATGACTATTACCATTCATATTTAGGTAATGTCGTTAGAGTCTTCAATTAGAGCTCCCTGAGGCATTTTAATTGTTAAAAAAAAAACAAAAAAAAAACAGAAACGTGTACTGCATTGTCGAAATAAACTCATTGCACTATTGAAGAAATAGAGACAAGTTCTGCCATGTGACACCACCTTTAATGTTTCAAATTGTTACCAACTTGACTAGTTAACACCATAACATTGGTCAGTCTCGCTTAGTACCTCTGCAGGGAAACTAGATTGTCCATCAATGATGTTCTATGAAAAGAACCTTCTTCAGAGTACAGAAGTCACAGGCATCTTTATTACATAAAACATTCACAGTTGCCAGTGTGTGACTAAAAATGTGACTTATTATAAGCAGTCACTTGCTGATTCTTGTCCTTGTTCTGGGATTAGTCAGCGGAGTAATTTTATCCCAGACAAGTGAACTCCAAGGGCTTTACACATGCTCAACGTGGAATGCCAGGCTGGGCTACTGTGCCCCAAGGTAAATAGGCACTGCCACTAGAAATCACAATATCTACAGTTACATTTTATATTTACAACTAAAATAGTTCTACACGTGTGTCAGCAACTGTTGGTTTTCATTTCTTTTTGTGAAGGGCATATGTTGTTGTAGAGGTATATAGCTGCTCCAACCTACTTATGCTCACTAATACACAAATATGTCCCGTCTAGGCCCCTATGCTCTGCCGGATACCTCCGTCTAAGCTCTGTTCGGACTCCTACCTCTGATGCTCAAAAGACTTAAAGACTTCTCTAGGGCCGCACTGTTGCTATGGAACGCCTTTCCCCTCTCTGTGAGACTCTCACACAAAAAAATCTTTGAAAACTTGCTTCTTTAGGAAAGCATAACAATTAAACTGTGAACCGCTTTCCCTCCCCGCACCCTGATTCCTCTCCTGAAACTGTCATCGAAACAAAATACGAAGCTCTCAATGAACACTATCCTAGCAAACTACTTTCTACCCTACCTTTACCTTTTTTGTCACTGTACCCCACTCCCTCTAGCATGTAAGCTCATTGAGGCCCTCAATCCCTCTGTTCCGGTGTGCCCAACTCGTCTGGTTACAAATACTTGTCTGTTAGTCCACCCATTGTACAGCGCTACAGAACTTGTTGGTGCTTTATAAATATAAATATATTTATTTCTATATATTGAGTTAATGTATTATGGAACACAAAGTATGATGAATTACCAATTATCTCCCTTCTACAAATAAAATTGATTTGTTAATATAACATCAATAGCAACAGAAACAGCAGTCAGATTCTTAGAATTAAATCCTGTCAGCTGAACACGCTAGTCCTTAAACGACTAACAACAAGATATGACTGTTGCAAAATTAAGGAACATGCCTATTGCTGGCCTTCAAGCGGTTAAGTCAAATTAAGAAGTAGAAATAAAAAGTAAAAATTTCTTGTTTCAACCTATAATATTGCAGGTTAGTAGTAAAATCGTTTAAAATGTGGTATTTTATTTAAAAGTCATTAAATTCTTGGTAATCAGAATTAAAAAACTAATTGTTAAGTATGCTTTTTTTGAATCTATTTTTAAGGATACATTTGTGTACACTAATTATTGAGCATGCTTATTTTATGTAACAGTGGGAAAAAAGGAGCAAAAGGAAGAAATACCATTGATAAAGTAACCCAAAATAATGTCAATTTTCTTTGACAGCCATGTGGAATTCAGCTCCTCCCAAATGCTCAGTGACTGATCAGAATCTTCTTCCCAATCAAAAATTAAATAAAGATGCATAGAGTCTGTATGTCTGGCGTTTGTTCATTGAACAGCTTGTTATATCGGTGGTTGGATACACTTCCTTAACATTATTCAGGTACTAGAGATTCACAATAATTTTCAATAACAGCATACACAAATCTACACATAAATAACAGAATAACCAGCATGGTCATAAATGCTACACAATGCACACGAGTCAGATTTTTGCAGTCTAGGATGTAGTAACTATTTTGTGAGTACAGTGGCTTAAGGGTAGAGAAATTGTACATACACAATTAAAGTTAAGACGTGGTGTTTCAGGTTACCATAAATATGTCTACTATAAAGGAGCACATTTGTTTCACAGCTGGAGTCAGAGAAAAGATGCTTTGTATGAAACCATGCCCTAAAAACCAAAGTACAACATAGGCCTATATGTAGGTCAACTGAAATACAGATGAATTAAGAAACCATTAAATTGCACTCTTTATAATTTATTATCCATCCAGTGATCCATAAATAGGGTTCATGCAACTGAATGTATGAGATGTGTAGGATAGAGATTATTTTAAGAGTATGATTTAATTATGTCAGGGGTGCAGAATTCCTATCCCTTAACGCCCAGGACAAGTGGTTCCGCACAAGAAGATTTTGTCTTTCTTAGCCCTGGTGCGGGAAAGTGGCCAGGTTTCTAAAAAAAAAATTTAAAAAAGCGCCTGGGAGAAGAGAGAGTAATGGCAGAAAGCATGTGGTCTGATGTCTGGTGGCTGCAGACCATAGTAATCACTCCCTTGCAGTCCAGCGCTCACTAATAAGTCACATTGCATCTTATGGTATTCCCAGCCTGCGCTAGGACTCACTTAGCGCCAAGACTGCAATGGAGGTGGAGACCACAAACTCCCCCAGTCAGCTATCAGGTACATAACAGACACACCACACACAGAATCAACACACACATTACAAATATCTAGTACAAACACCACACACATATTGCATACATCAGACATGCAGAGCAGACATCACATGCATGGAACAAGAGATGGAGAAGCTATGGGGGAAGACGACATGACAATTAGGGTTATGATGGTTAAGATGGTCTTTTTTGGCTCAATTTAACCCCAAAGTTAGGATCATGGTGCCTGATTGCTCTGCCTCTTCACTGCCTCTGGATGCATGCTGCATCTCATGCCTCATGGTGTCAAAACCACATGGTGCATCCCACATCACAGGGTGTCAAAATGGTGCATCCCACGTCACAGGGAGTTAAACCAGCATTCTGCATCCTACGCCACAGGGTGTCAAACCAGAGTGCTGCATCCCACGCCACAGGGTGCCAAAACGGCATATTGCATCCCACGCCACAGGGTGCATTGTAGCAAAATGGCGCGCTGCATCCCAGGCCACAGGGTGCCAAAAGGGCGCGCTGCATCACACGCCACAGGGTGCCAAAACGGCGCGCTGCATCACACGCCACAGGGTGCCAAAACGGCGCGCTGCATCGCACGCCACAGGGTGCCAAAGACGCATGCTGCATCCTACACCACTGTTTATTTTATTTATTTATAAAATATTTTACCAGGAAGGATACATTAAAAACGCAATACTGCATCCCACACCATAATGTGTCTAAACTGGATTACAGACCTTTAACCTTTCGGTATAAAAATGGTACCCAGAATGCCATAACAATAGCCATTAAATATTGCATGGTTCATATCCTGCCCACATGTGTATAAAAACCAACACCTATATACTTTGCTTCACTGTGCCTAAATTTGTGCTGGAGACCAACACAGCTCTCTCTGCACCCTCAGCTTCCATGCCCCCCAGATGCCATTCATATAACCATGCTGAGATCATTAGTGCCAGCTCACCCTGCAGGGACCCCATGCCACCCATCACTCACAGCTCACCTCCCTGCCTTGCTCTAAAGGAACCCGACACAGCTCACAGCTCACAGCCCCACAGAGCCTGGCATCCCAGCTTGCTCACTGCCCATCAGCCGCCGTGCCTTACCTGCCATGGCTTCCAATCAATGGCGGCTCAGCCAAGCGGCCCGGAGCACTGTGCTTTGTTAGACTGTCCGTGCCAGAGGCAGAGCAGCGGGGACCGGAGGCTGAGAGTGAAGGTGGACCGCTCGGTATCGCCCTCCCCTCCGGACCAGAACCAGCGACACTGACAGCTCAGAACAATAGCCTCCCACCGACACCGACCCTGCGTCACCACGTCAGCCTGGCAGTGAGGCAATCTGCCCTCTTCTGGTACTGTACGTAAGGGGCGTGGCTATCTCAGCATGTGCTCAGTCTGAGCATTATATCACTGATGCAGTGTCTGATGTAACCCAGCTTCCTATATGGAACCTGTTCATGTAATGTCACGTTTTCATGGGAGCTGGGATGAGCAAACGTAACCACTTAGTTAATTCACTTAATTACGAACTGTAAAGATGTTTAAAGCGAATGTAATGTCAGTTTTATGCCAGAATTACAAAATTGGGGGGGGGGAATCTGGAAATTAAAGTAGTTATTTTGGATTAAAATTATAAATCCAGACAATAAACACACTAGTGGAAATCCTAGTGTACCATGGACACTTGAAGCACCAGCAGGATTATTCGGTAAAGGTGAAATCTGCCAGGAATTCAAAGTGAATTTTAAAATGAAGGCCCAAATAGCCAAATTAGAAAAAAAAAAATGTCCCAAATCTCGCTTTGCTCACATCAGTTTTCACTTTAGTGAATAGCCATGCAAGACAAATGTTGCTTATTAAAGTGGTTATGGTGCAACGACCCTGTCCCTGATTAAGTCCAGAGATAAATACGTTTTTCTGGTTATTAAGCATTCAGTTAAAAACAGCACTTGAACTAATATAGTCCTTAAGTATGAATGTAGGACTACATATCAATTCCAGTATATCAGTGCAACAGCATTTAAGCTGCAGCCTACTGTGGAATAGTAAAAGTGTATATAAAAATTTAATGTCATTTAACGTCTTATTTACATTTTAAAATATACTGCATAGGAGGAGTGGGTCTGGAAGACATGAGTAGGTATGAGAAGATATGCTCATTTCTGGTGGGGGGAGTTTCTGGTAGCAGAAGGATTTATTGATTTTCAGCATAGATGTGTTGGTTTCAAACTGTCCCGACATGGACCCGTATTTCCATATACTCACAACCAATCACCAGACCACTGACTTGATTCATTGGTGCCCTGCTTCTAAGAGTATCTCATTAGAAAGTACAGAGCACCATGAAAGGCACTCTCCCTTTGCAAACTCATGGTATTTTACCCGTATGGAGATGCATCAGCAGGACACCTAAAATAGAAAGGAGTATGGTTCCTCCTGAGTTCTAGACAACGATGTCCATGATCCTGCCAAGCTTCCCAGCACTCTCAGAGCAATTATTCACTGCTTGATTCTACCCACTTGCTCCCTGTTGGCACTAATACTGACACTATCCATTTTGATCTATGTCAGAAAACGTCCAGATTCCCATCATGATCATGAAGAAATTCTATGCACATACAGTCTCTAGAACAGAGGTAGGCAACTTGCAGCATTCCAGAGGTATGAAACTAGATCTTGCATAATGCTCTTACGACCATAAGACTGGCAAAGTATCAGTGGAGATGTAGTCCACAATATCTGGAGTATTGAACATTGCCTACCCCTGCGATCATTCTTGTGCACTCATTATGCCTCTTCCTTATACACGCTCTGTGTCCATATGACACGCAGTAACATTGCTTGCAATTCATGTACAGTAGTTACAATTAAGGGACATCTACTGCCTGAAAGATAAAAATCACTGTTTAGTAGATGTACCACAAATGAAAACACATCTATTTAATTACGCATCTTTTTATTGAGGGTATATCTACAAATAGCATGCAAAAGCTGCAGATCTCTTTGCAAGCCCTCCTCTTCCAACCCAGCCCAGAATTTCTGTGGCCCACCAATCACAGACTTACAAATGCAGCTCAGTGAGAAGTCTCTGCAAGGCAGGTGATCTGAGCAATCACTGCCTTTTGGGTTTAATTCCACAGAGTCCTGGAAGGGCCTGTCCCTCTGTCAGGACCAGCAGCAGTGTCTGAATTGTGGGGCTGTGTGTCTCCCTGCATCTAGGTTTCAGCAACCAGCATTGTATTTCTACCACAATAATATTCTTTATTTTTTCATATTTTTTCTCTTCTTTTTACTGCTATAATTCTGACCCTCACATTATTTTTCATTATTTTTTTAAGATCAGGTACAAGTAAGCATATCATAAGTATAAGAAAAAACAAGTGGTGTATCCAGTTTATACTTTATAAGATACAATACAGCACACAAAATACAGCACTTCCAACATACTACAAGTACATTTAGGTCTCGAAATATTTGGACAATGACATGTTTTATTTAGTCTGTTTACCAAAATAAATTCAAGTTACAGTTAAATACTGAATATCTCTCAGCTTTCCTTTGAGGGTATTCACATCCAAATTGGAGGAAAGGTTTAAGAATTACAGCCCTTTTTTTTTTTCAACGGACCAAAAGTAATTGGACAATTAACTCAAAAGCTGTTTCATGGATGTGGGCTAGTCCTTCGTTACTTCTTCATTAATTAAGCAGGTAAAAGTTCTGGAGTTGATCCCAGGACTGGCATTCACATTTGGAGGCAGATGCTGTGAACCCACAACATGCGGTCAAAGGAGCTCTCAATGAAAATGAAACAGGCCATCCTTAGACTGCAAAAAAAAAATCTATCAGGGCGCATGGGACATTAATAATGGCCAAATCAACAGCTGGGTGCATTCTGAGAAAAAAAGAACGCACTTCTGAGCTCAGCAACACAAAAAGGCCTGGACGTCCATGGAAAACAACAGTGGTGGATGATCGTAAGGTCCTTTCCATGGTAAAGAAAAACCCCTTTACAATATCAAGTCAAGTGAAGAGCACGCTTCAGGAGAAGGCATGTCATTATCCAAGTCTACCATGCATAAAATACTTCACAAGCGCATATATAGGGAGATCACCACAAGGTGCAAACCATTCATTAGCTTTAAGAATAGACAGGTCAGTTTTGACTTTGCCAAAAAGAAAAATATCTAAAAAAGACAGCCCTGTTCTGGAACAGCATTCATTGGCCAGATGAAACTAAAATCAGTCTGTACCAGAATGATCGGAAGAAAAAAGTATGGAGAAGGCTTGGAACAGCTCATGATTCAAAGCACACCACATCATCTGTAAAACACGGTGGAGGAAGTGATGGCATGAGCATGCATTGCTTTCACTGGCATAAGGTCACTAGTGTTTATTAATGATGTGACAGATGGGACCAGATTAATTCTGAAATGTATAGGGATATATTGTCTGCTCAGATTCAGTCAAATTCAGCAAAGCTGACTGGACAATGCTTCACTTTACAGATGATCCAAAGCATACTGCAAAAGCAACCCAAGAGTGTTTAAGGCAAAGAAGTGGAATATTCTGCAATATATATGTCAGTTACCTGATCTCAACCCTATCGAGGATGCATTTCATTTGCTGAAGACAACGAGGTATTTACCTCATCTCCTTCATATCTGTTCCTGGTACCAGTGGGGAGTGTCAGCACTAAATCTGACACTACATCTAAAAAGAGCCAGTTACCTAAAAGGCTCCAATTAAGGTGAGCATACACATATTGTTTCTAAAAGTGCAGTTTTCCTGTACTGCTATAGAAGATACTCCACCAAGATTATATCTCTTTTCTCTCCTATATACCCAACAGTGAGGATACACCTTGTAGAGACTTAAAAGAAAGGTTAAGTTGCCACCTTATAACCACATAAGCTTGAATTTTACAGCCTATTTTTTTAAGAGGCTCTAAAAAATGTTAGTTTTCAAACAGCATATAGTTTACCGTAATTTCATTTATAAAAAGACAATACTACACTATTGTGCATTATTTCTCTCTGTTTTTATATGTATAACATTAACCCCCAAAACATTTGAGGGGTAAGTGTTTATTTCTCAAGTGCTGCACTCACACCAAAACATTGAGTTGAAAGTTCTTTGTATTTTTTTATTTTTATTTTATATATCCGAGTTTTATTGAGTTTTCATAGGAAATACAGGCCAAACAATAACATAGCGTGTTCTCACGAATAAACAATTGTGACTAAATATAAAAGGAGGCTCGTTGGTCTCCAGCAAGTCGGTTTTAAGGTGGACCACGCAGGGTTTCCATGCATTGTGCCATTTATAAGTTCTTTTCACAGTGCTGTGGTTAGTATTTTTTTCTGGGGAAAGAGTAGAGATCTTTTTGGATATGTCACTAGCTGTTGGACATCACAATTATTCACGGAGCGCCTTATTGTCACATTTGTTTCATTAGTATCAATATGCGTGCACCGGCATCCAAATGATGCAGAAACTAGCGCAAGTTCTTTATAACCACTGCTTCTGCATCGACAGTGTTTCCCAAAACCAGCCAACAAACCAATTGAAATCACAGTCCAAAAAGACACAAACTGCTCATCATTTTCAAGCATCCATTAATCAGGACTTTTCTTTTTTGTTATAAACCATCAAAAACTGGGTGTGCTTGGAAATCATTTCTCAGAGCTAATATGCCTCATTGGATAGTGAACAAGTAAAACAGGTTAGAAATGTGGAATACTTAGATTGTGATCTATAAATACCAAAATTCTTTGCATTTTTTATACTATGGTTTATACTTACGTCATTCATACTAAACATATTTATACTATATAAAATGCTTAAAGAAACACTCCAGGCACCAGAACGACTTCATTGAAATTAAGCTGTTATGGTGCCAGGAGATCTTAGCGCACAATCTTACCTGAAGAGGTTAAATTATTATTGAACAGTTTAATGCCAAAGGTTGTCTCCAGTGGCGGATCTTCAATTGCCCCATCGGCAAACAGCTTCTGAAATTGAGTTTCTCTGTGTATTTCTTTATCCTCCCAGCCCTCTGCGTGTCTCTTTGTCCTCTTGTACTTTAATGTAGCATGGCCGAGCCAACCGCCGCAAGGAATCTTCTGCTTCCACTACCTGGTCTTACAGGAAGATGTTCGGTGCTCTACAGAAGATCCTTTACCACAGTCTGCCCGGCCACATTACATGCTGTGCAGTGCGCTACCATCCTCCCAGATACCCAGAGACTGTGCCCCTAGGGCTGATGCGCCTTAGGCAACTATAAAGTGGTAGTGCCAGCCCTAGCATCAACTAATTAAAAGGTTGGCAAGTTGGTGGGGAGGAACTCAAGTGGCTTGCAGATCTCTAACCTTAATCCCATTGAACACCTTTGGATTTTATTGAAAAGTCAATTGTCGACCACACAAATGCCCCGTTAGCTGAATGGGCACAAATTCCCAAACATACACAATCTAAAATCTTGTGGAAAGTCATTTTAGAAAAGTATCAGCTGTTATATATACAGTGTGGGGGCAACTCTACATGAATGCCAATGGTTTTGCAAAGGGATGTCCAACAAGATAATGTAAGTATGATTTCCAGTACTGTTGGCCACATATTGTATCAGGTCTTGAACGATGGAATAAGGGTGATCTCTCTGCTCCCTTTAGAAGCATTCACACTTTGTGATAACTTATTTTGTGAGCAGGACTGTTGCAACACTGAATTTTAGGCCTCTATCAGGTATGAGTTTGCCTAAAGTGTATATTTGAATCACTTCCACCTTGTATCAACATTTATGCTCCTTGGTGCATTACTACAGGGAGTGCAGAATTATTAGGCAAGTTGTATTTTTGAGGATTAATTTTATTATTGAACAACAACCATGTTCTCAATGAACCCAAAAAACTCATTAATATCAAAGCTGAATATTTTTGGAAGTAGTTTTTAGTTTGTTTTTAGTTTTAGCTATGTTAGGGGGATATCTGTGTGTGCAGGTGACTATTACTGTGCATAATTATTAGGCAACTTAACAAAAAACAAATATATACCCATTTCAATTATTTATTATTACCAGTGAAACCAATATAACATCTCAACATTCACAAATATACATTTCTGACATTCAAAAACAAAACAAAAACAAATCAGTGACCAATATAGCCACCTTTCTTTGCAAGGACACTCAAAAGCCTGCCATCCATGGATTCTGTCAGTGTTTTGATCTGTTCACCATCAACATTGCGTGCAGCAGCAACCACAGCCTCCCAGACACTGTTCAGAGAGGTGTACTGTTTTCCCTCCTTGTAAATCTCACATTTGATGATGGACCACAGGTTCTCAATGGGGTTCAGATCAGGTGAACAAGGAGGCCATGTCATTAGATTTTCTTCTTTTATACCCTTTCTTGCCAGCCACGCTGTGGAGTACTTGGACGCGTGTGATGGAGCATTGCCCTGCATGAAAATCATGTTTTTCTTGAAGGATGCAGACTTCTTCCTGTACCACTGCTTGAAGAAGGTGTCTTCCAGGAACTGGCAGTAGGACTGGGAGTTGAGCTTGACTCCATCCTCAACCCGAAAAGGCCCCACAAGCTCATCTTTGATGATACCAGCCCAAACCAGTACTCCACCTCCACCTTGCTGGCGTCTGAGTCGGACTGGAGCTCTCTGCCCTTTACCAATCCAGCCACGGGCCCATCCATCTGGCCCATCAAGACTCACTCTCATTTCATCAGTCCATAAAACCTTAGAAAAATCAGTCTTGAGATATTTCTTGGCCCAGTCTTGACGTTTCAGCTTGTGTGTCTTGTTCAGTGGTGGTCGTCTTTCAGCCTTTCTTACCTTGGCCATGTCTCTGAGTATTGCACACCTTGTGCTTTTGGGCACTCCAGTGATGTTGCAGCTCTGAAATATGGCCAAACTGGTGGCAAGTGGCATCGTGGCAGCTGCACGCTTGACTTTTCTCAGTTCATGGGCAGTTATTTTGCGCCTTGGTTTTTCCACACGCTTCTTGCGACCCTGTTGACTATTTTGAATGAAACGCTTGATTGTTCGATGATCACGCTTCAGAAGCTTTGCAATTTTAAGAGTGCTGCATCCCTCTGCAAGATATCTCACTATTTTTGACTTTTCTGAGCCTGTCAAGTCCTTCTTTTGACCCATTTTGCCAAAGGAAAGGAAGTTGCCTAATAATTATGCACACCTGATACAGGGTGTTGATGTCATTAGACCACACCCCTTCTCATTACAGAGATGCACATCACCTAATATGCTTAATTGGTAGTAGGCTTTCGAGCCTATACAGCTTGGAGTAAGACAACATGCATAAAGAGGAGGATGTGGTCAAAATACTCATTTGCCTAATAATTCTGCACTCCCTGTACACACCCTTCATGTATGGCTCCGGATGGAAACAAGATACTGGCTAATCACTAAAGGTGGACAATATTGGAGATTGCTATGGTCTCTGTTTGTGTGTTCCTTCAGGAGAAATGCTATACGGTGTTGATGCACAATAAACCAGTTCAGATCTCACTCTGATTCATGCTGGAGAAATTGTAGTGTGAATGTCCAATTGCAGTGGGACTGGTAAGATTTAAAGGTGGTAGGGTGCTGCCCTCCTGACTTGTTTGGCCCTATACACGAGATGCCATGCCCTGTTCTAAAGCAGGCCCATCCTCACTCATCGATAAAGGAGAGAATATTAATCACAACAGAAGCATGTTTTGTTTAACACAAATTTATCAGTAGTCGTAGAATCTCAATACATTATTTAAATGGTTTTATTTTTTGACAAACAAGAAACAATGGAGGGTGCAACACTGATGTAGCGTTTTGAGACCACATTGATACTATTATACCAAGTTTCCAGCATGTGTTTGTTTAGCAGTGGTTTTATACCATGTTCTCTGCGTGTGTCTGTTTAGTAGTGATCTATCAATACCGACTACAAAACACTTTACTAGTGGAAATGTGCTTATCTGCAATTACCATTGTCAAGTTGTCTGCCACCGTAATATAATAGTGTGCTCTAATAAATATTTCACCAAGGTGCCATTTACAACTTTTTCATTAGTGGGCTAGTATAGATGTCCAAACAGCTATTGTCTTTATAAGATGGTTTTTCTATAGTACTATTTTTCTTTTTTGTGGTTAGTTCTTGTGAAAGTCCTAGTTGGACTTTCTTTTCTCATGATTTATTAAAAGTTAAGTCTTCTAATGCATGGTGTTTTTACCCTTATAGTATTCCATCTTTAGTACCAAGTGTTGCACCCTCCATTTTTTCTTGTTTGTCAATTGTTAACTACAGGGATTATCCCCCATTCAGGAGGTTTGCACTGCCTCTAGCCCTTCCTTTTCGGTTTCTCCTTTTTTCTTCAAGTCACGGTTTTTATTTTTGCAACAAAACCTGGGGGGTGCCGCTCACCTGCTTCTTTGGACCAATCTTCACTGTCCCATGTTGAAAGTGGTCTGGAAACAAATTACATCTGTTTTCAGCAATGTCCTTCATAAGCTTACGGACTTGTCCATCCTTAGACTTTTCTGATAACACGTGTTTTGAAAATAAGCTTATTTTAGTTCCATTTAAAACCGCACTGCTTGGAGGGCTATAGCTCATCGATGGCAAAACCTGGAGAGCCCATCCTGAGGCTGTGGTACTCCACAAATTAAAGAATATCTGCCTGAAGGTGGATGGAGACAGTAGATGTCTTCTCCCAACTTCTCTTTCTTGTTCTTCTTGTTCCTGTTTAATGTCAACATAACGTTTATCTTAAAAAAACTAAATTATTTCCAATATTTTAGAGTGCCCTAAATAGTACCCAAATATTAATTTATAACCAGAAAGGAGGTATAGTATTTACAGGATAGCACTTGTTTCAAGTATTATCTTATTATCATATACATACACCTATACACCCTATTAAACACCCTCATTTATTGCTGATTTTGTCAATAATTGCAGCAAGCAGAAAAAAAAGAGTCAAGTGGAAAAACACTTATGTATAGATTATAACTTTAAAAGGATAATGAACCTTTTATTTTATTTTAATTTTATTCTCATTCCACGTTTAAAAAGTAACATTTAAAATAACTAATGTACTTTAATTTTAAGATTGACTCCCACCCATCATTTGTCTCAGCTCCAGGTCTTTGCATGATATACTGTCCTTTGCAGCTCATACCTCCTGGGTAAATTGAGTTTACAATTACATTTTGCAGTGATTGGATTATTATCAAAGTATGCTACATGCACACATAAAGTGCCATGGTGATTCAGTCCCAATCCAGGACCACGCCACCAGAAGGAGACACCAGCTAGATTAGACTTGGACCGTATCAGTCCAGGGTTGTCACATGTATAGTGCACTACTACCAGATGTCTTAATTAAATGTTTTGGTTTTATGCATGGTCTTAAAGAATGTACCTGCAAATATGGATTTTCTCACAAAACTTTTGAAAGTGCTCAAGCTCTGCTATTTGTCCAACAAGGCTATTTATTTTTGCAGTTCCATTAGGAATTTACTTAATTATTATTATTGGTATTTATATGGCGCCAACTTATTCTACAGTGCTTTACAATATTACAAAATGGGGACATTTTTACAACAAATGAGATAATTACAAAGGGATACAGGAACAATAGGTTGATCCCAATGTACAGCGCTACGGAATGTGATGGCGCTATATAAATAATAAAATGAGGACACTGCTCAAACAAGCTTACAAGCTATAATCAATAAGCTGTATTAAGACTGACATCAGAACATATCTTTAGTCGAAACAATCAGTTCTTACTTGAATCACGATCAAAAGTATGCTTAACAATGCATGGTAATAGGCTTGCTGATTCTGAAATGTTTATATCGAGTAGAAAGGAAATTAAAATGATCTCTAAGCACTATTTCATTGTAGAAGATAAGCATAAATGCATAGGACGCTGCTTTTCACACTACATATCATAAAATCAGCAAAATGTCATCAATAGCATTTCAGTTTTCCATCCCACAGCTCTGACCACAAACTTGGCTTTCAACCAGGAGCCAAGAATGAAAAAAAAAAGGCAAGTCATGGTGACAAACACATTTTGTATGATCTCATTGAACTATTCAAATAGTAAATACACGTCACAGGACTTTCATCATTCAGTCTCTAGGCTAGAGGTCCACATAGTTACATAGGTTTTGCTCATTGGTATCTTCTGCGGTTCAACTTGAACTTCAACTTGGTTATAGTAATTAAAAAAAATATTCTTGACACTCTATACATGAGATTGGCAAGGTATAAGTGGGCATAAATTGGTGTTGTGGTTGCTGGTTGGTGTATAAAGGAGTTGAAGATTGGAAAGGCTCATAAGGTGTTAACAGTCTATTCCAAGTTTTAAACCATACCACAATAAAAGCTCTAGGTTACAAACAGACAGGCAGAGATTTTGAGTATTTCTGTCATTGTGTGATCTGCTCCCCCGCACCCCCAGGCAGTAAAAGGTAAAAAAAAAAAAAAAAATCATTATCTTTCTCCTACGGCAATCTACTGCATCTACAGATCTTAAAATGTTGAATTTGCAGAAAATGATATTAGGATTAATTCTGTTTCTCATAACATGACTCAGCAGGAGAGTTTAATCCTTAAAAACTACTATTGGCAAGTTATGTACAAAAAATCTATACAAGCATATATTGCAATGGCTCCAGACTAATATATATAATATGTATAGAGATTTCCAATCTTGTTTACCATTATACTATTTGCTAAACTCTAATACTGGTACACTTCCTTTTTCTGTGTGTGCTGACAAGCCATATTCTTTGCCCTCCAAACATAAGTTCCTCTTGTTAGCGTATTAAAATGGTTATGCTGATGGAACGCTGTCCCTTGAAATGTAATTGAGGCCCATTTCCTTATTTTCAACGTGATATGGTTATTTATTGAGTCATGCAAGCACTTTGAGTGAGTTTGCACTGCCGCCTCACATTGTTCCAGTCAGCTTCCTGACACTGCAGGAACTGTAAAAAGACAAGAAAATAAATCAATTTAAAGTTAAGTTTGTAGGAATGGCTTCCCTAGGATAATCTGCGCTGGGCGTGCTGTTTGGAATGTTCCATTTAAGTTCTGACCCCATGTGTTTGAACACTACTTAAAGTGTTATTCCAATAAAAAAAACTGTGTTTCAATAAATCACTATTTTTGGTCACAGTAACTATTGCTGGCATCCCACCCCACCCCCAAAACATTAATTAATTAAGGAAAACTTACCTTCGATGCAATAGCAAGTACAAACCTCCCTGCAGCCTATCCTCCTACAGTAACATCACTACCACTCACTGCAGGAGGAGAGATATCAGGAAGGATGGGCTGTACTTAGGGTTGTCATCTTTTTCGGAAAAAAATACCGGCCATGCTAATTTGCATAATTAATTATGTATGAGTGATGTCACTAGACACTGGAACATTACGGAATGTTGCGTAACATTTGGAAGAGGAAAGTTACGTACAGACATACAGTGATCTACAGACAAAGACATACAGACAGTGTCATACATACACATACAGACACAGTCATTCGGACATTGACATAAAGACACTGACAAACAGACATACAGAGACATACAGGCACAGGCATTCAAATACAGTCATACAGACACTGACATACACACACTAACATACACAGTCATACAGAGACATACAGAAATTGAGATACAGTCATACATGGTATTTTTTTTTTCTTTCTACCCCCAGACCTTATATTTCAGAGTGGGCCCCTAATAACAGCATTGATTATCAACACCCACTACTCACAAGCAACCAAGCCCTGCAGAAAAGCCTAAGCAGAGGTATTATCTCTGGAAGGCTGCCCACCTACCTCTCCCGACGCCAGCCCATGGTCATTACCATACTCACTAAACCTCTCCTCGCCTGAATTCCCTCTGTTAACAAACTGCATCCTTAACCATGGTTTAAAAACTCATAGGTATATATACATATCTATGATTATATATGTGCAACTGTATAAGCTTCATATCTATATAACAAAACACATTTTTTCTAAATAATGGTCTCCCTTTTATTTTTCACTTTCACATTAACTTCTCTAATTACTAAAATATCCCTATCCTTCTGCTCACCTGTCCCTGGCAATACCATCTTCATTACCAGGGCCATCTATAATATGAATAGGACCCTGGGCAAAGCATTTTCTTGGGCCCCCTGGGCCCTGTCCCTGCGCCCCCCTCCTCATTACGCCCAACCCGCAATTACACTGACAGATATACTGACACATACACACACAGACATATTAAAACATTCGCAGATACATACTGACACACACATACACTGACACACAAATATATACTGGCAAATATATTGACACACATTCAGACATACTGATACACACACAGACACACATACATAAAAACAGACACATACACTGACATATATACTGACACACACACAGACACATACACTGACAGAAATACTGAAACACATACACTGACAGGCGTATTGACATACACAGACATACTGACATACACACACAGACATATACACACACAGTATGTCTCTGTGTGTGTGTGTTAGTATGTCTGTGTGTGTTAGTGTGTGTGTGTGTGTGTGTGTTAGTGTGTGTGTGTTAGTATGTCTGTGTGTGTGTGTGTGTATGTCAGTATGTCTGTGTGCGTATGTCAGCATGTCTGTGCGTGTATGTTAGTATGTCTGTGTGTGTGTCAGTATGTTTGTGTGTGTATATGTTTGTGTGTGTATGTCAGTATGTATGTGTGTGTATGTCAGTATGTGTGTATGTCAGTGTGTGTGTATGTTTATGTCAGTGTGTGTATGTTTATGTCAGTGTGTGTATGTTTGTCAGTGTGTCTGTGTGTGTATGTCAGTATGTCTGTCATACTGACATACACACACACAGACATACTAACACACATACATACACACAGACATACTGACTGACATACACACACACACAGACATACTGACATACACACTCACACACACACATACATACTGACACAAACACACACACACACACACACACACACACACACACACACAGACATACTAACAAACACACAGACATACTGACATACATTTAGCCACCCTCCAGGTTCTTACCTTTTTATGGAGGGTGGTTTCCCTGGGATCCAGTGGCAGGCTGAGGCAGTTGGGAGTTATCTTGAAGAACTCCCCTCCTCCCTGCTTTCCTCCTCCCACGCGGCTATTATCTCCGGTGGGAGGAAGTGACACACGCACTCACTTCCTCCCAGTCGGCACAGAAAGGGGCCCGGTCGCGCTGTTAAAGCGTCACAGCGCCCGACCGGGCCCCTGCTGACACATGGTAACCGGGTGGCCCTTAGTGCATGGGCCACCCGGGGGGCCTCCTTAGTTGGCGGGCCGGTGTGGTTGCACCGCTGGGTGCAAAAGACGGCCCTGTTCATTACTTCCACCTTACTCAATGCTCTATTCATCCCATGCACAATACATATACCTTTCAAGCCTATCTCCTCCCAAATCCTCTATATACATACCCTCCTACAAAATCTTTAAATCCTTCTCCCACCTTCACTTCCTTTCTATTCTTCTGCTCCTAGCAGCTGGTGAGGTGTCTCCAAACCTCGGTCCCATCTCCGCAAACCCACCACATACTAACTCAAGGAACCACACCAATCTCATAACCATCTCATGTTACTCTTTCTCTAAATCCTCCTTCAATACTGCCCTCTGGAATGTACACTCTGTTTGCAATATTACAAAATCCACTGCTGTCCACGACCTCTTCATCTCTCGTTCCCTAGATTTACTAGCCTTAACAGAAACATGGCTCTCCTCTTCTGACTGCTACCCCTGCATCTTTATCCTTTGGTGGTCTTCAACTTACCCACAACCCAAGACACTCTGAATGTAAAGGTGGTGGTGTGGGGTTTCTCCTCTCACCTCACTGCTTCTTCAAACCTATACAAAACCCACCTTCCCTATCATTTAAAATTCATTTGATTCGACTCTTCAATTTTTGAGAGAAATAGGAAAAAGTGTACATATGTGTACACAGAAAATGTCTTAGATCTTTGAGTTCAGCTCATGAAAAATGGGGTCAAAAACAAAAAAGTGTTGAGGTGTCTCTGACACCTTTAACTCTCTTCTTCGCCCTGTGGCCACCCCCCAAACTAACCTTATAGCCGATAGCTTTGTATGCTTCTTTACCAACAAGATTGAACAGCTAAGGAAAGAATTCTCCCCAGCTTGCCGTTCTTTCTCAACCACACGTAGATCATGCCTTTCCTACCCTTCAGACTTTCTCCCTGGCTATTGAACAAGAGGTGGCTGCGCTACTCTTTTCCTCTCGCCCCACCACTTGTCCGCTCAATCCTATCCCATCTTACCTTATCAGAACTCTCTCTCCCTGTCTTGTAGCTTCCTTAAAGGACCACTATAGTGCCAGGAAAACATACTCGTGCCCCCACCCTCAGGGTCCCACTCCCGCCCGGCTCTGTGGAGAGGAAAGAGGTTCAAACTTTCCTTTCTCCAGCGCTGGGCGGGGAGCTCTCTGCCTCTGATCCTCCTCCTCTCCTCCCTTTCGGCTGAATGCGCATGCGCGGCAAGAGCTGCACACACATTCAGCCGGTCTCATAGGAAAGCATTTACAATCCTTTTCTATGGATGCTTGCGTGTTCTCACGGTGATTTTCACAGTGAGAATCACGCAAGCGCCTATAGCAGCTGTCAATGAGACAGCCACTAGAGGATTTGAGGGCTGGATTAACCCATTTATAAACATAGCAGTTTCTCTGAAACTGCTATGTTTATAAAAAAATGGGTTAACCCTAGCTGGACCTGGCACCCAGACCACTTCATTAAGCTGAAGTGGTCTGGGTGCCTAGAGTGGTCCTTTAACACACATCTTCAACTGCTCTCTCTTCTGGCGTTGTCCCTGCTGACCTTAAACATGCCACTGTAGTACCTATCCTGAAAAAAAACATCTCTTGACGCGTCCTCCCCCTCTAACTATCGTCCCATATCCCTGCTCCCTTTTTCCTCAAAGCTTCTGGAAAGACTTGTCTTTACCCAAATGTCTCAATTCCAACTCTCTCCTTGACCCTCTTCAATCTTCCTTCAGACCCCTCTACTCTGAGACTGCTCTTATCAAAATTACTAATGACCTAATCGCAGCTAAATCCAAAGGCCACTACTCCATTCTAATTCTTCTTGACCTCTCTGCTGTCTTTGACACTGTTGATCATGCTCTTCTTCTTCAAACTCTTTAATCACTCGGTCTCTGTGACTCTGTCCTCTCATGGTTTTCCTCTTATTCCTCCCAATGCTCATTCAGTGTCTCCTCGTCTAATGATACCTTCTTCACTGCCACCAGACTGATTTTCCTCTCTAGTCAGTCCTCTCACACCTCACCCCTCTGTCGGTTCTTACATTGGCTAACTGTATCCTATAGGAGTCAATTCAAAGTGCTAACCCATACCTATAAAGCACTGAACAATTCTAGCCCCTCATATCTATTCACAGATCCATAAGTATGCCCCATCTCGTTCTCTCCGCTCTGCCAGTGACCTTCTCCTGTGAGCTGCTCGCACCCGTACGGCCAACTCGCTGTCAGGACTTACATTACGAATCTTCTCAGACTCAGTTCTGACACTTCCGGGTATGCGGAACAGGCCCCGCCCCCTTTTCTGATGCGGCTTTCTCAAGCCCTTATAGAGAAACTGCGCCAGTTTTAAAATTGCTTAGTGAATGAGTTAGGTTACTTCTGCATTCATACCGCCGGCTACGCTCCTCTCGTTAATTTGTGTACCGAACTCCTGGATTGAAATAACGGATTCCTTGCCTTCTCCTCTCCTCTGATCACGGACTGTATTTTTGATTATTCTGCTCTCTCTCCAACCCTCACGAACCGGACTGTTAGAAGTTTATGCTCCCTCCTGACTACAACTATCCTGCCTTTGGAGGACTACTCACATAAAAAAACTAAGTATATACTTAATCATAATTCTGGAAATTGCATAATTAATGAATTTTCACCTACTTGCTAACATTCTCCTGCTTCAACTTGGTTGCCACTATCTCTGCTACAGTTGCTTTTGCTTTTAACCTATCCACGAATCCTTAAAGCTACAGTAAATTGTGCTTACTTAAAGGACTTTTTCCTATCGCTAATAATACTCTGGTTAAATAAATAAGGAAAATTCTAATCTGCAGTTGTGTTCCACATCTCTTCTACCTGTGACATAACACTCACGCTTACAGGACTTCTTGTGGGCAGCTCCCTTCCTATGGAATTGCCTGCCTACCGCCATCAACCTCTCCCCTAGTCTTCAATCGTTTAAGAAGTGCCTTAAAACCCATCTCTTTAGGAAAACTTATGGTCTCCCAGAGTAACCTCTACCTCACATACCTGTCTCCTGATTGCTATTTCCTGTCCTAATGTGTTTTATACCCAACCTCCTATAGACTGTAAGCTCGTTTGAGCAGGGTCCTCTTCAACATATCGTTCCTGTAAGTTTTCTTGTAATTGTCCTATTTATAGTTAAAGGAGCACTATATGGTCATGAACACAAACATGTATTCCTAACCCTATAGAGTTAAAACCACCATCTAGGCACCCTGGTTCCCTCATGCCTCCCTAAATATAGTAAATCTTACTTGTATTCAAGCCTGAAGCTGCTGGCTTTGCCACGGTTTTCTTTTGATCTGCCCACTGCCTGCTGACATCATCAGAAGTGGTGGCCTGATCCAATCACAATGCTTCCCCATAGGATTGGCTGAGACTGACAAAAAGGCAGATCAGGGGCACAGCCAGCATGAGTCAAACACATCCCTGGCCAATCAGCATCTGCTCATAGAGATGAATTGAATCAATGAATCTCTATGACGAAAGTTCAGTGTCTGCATGCAGAGGGAGGAGATATTGAATGTTTGGATGCATTTTAGGCAGCCATGACCCAGGAAGGATCTCTAACAGCTATCTGAGGAGTGGCCAGTGAAGTTATCACTAGGCTGTAATGTAAACACTGCATTTTCTCTGAAAAGACAGTGTTTACAGCAAAAAGTCTGAAGGTAATGATTCTACTCACCAGAACAAATCCAATAAGCTGTAGTTGTTCTGGTGACTATAGTGTCCCTTTCAGTCCCCCCCTCTCATAATATTGTAAAGCACTACGGAATCTGTTGGTGCTATATAATTGGCAATAATAATAATACACAGACATAGTCATACAGACACTGACATATACAGACACAGTCATACACATTCAGACTCAAGCATACAATTAATAAATAAAAATATACAAACATTTATTTCTATATTCCTAAGTGCTCCCATCTTCATTACTGAGCAGGTCTGCTCTCCCTCTATAAACCCTCCCTGCAGAGACCTGGCTAATTACAAGTTGTATCTATGTGTCCTGTTACTCACCACTTTCCTGTCAGGATTACAAATGATCCAACATGCAGTATTAGTATCGCACTTAGGAATAAGGATAACGTCTAAGCAGACCTTAGAATGGCCAGACTTAACGTACCAGAGAATAGTCGAAATACTAGCCGAGGTCAGGAACACAGAACGAAACACAGTTGCAAAGAATAGCCAATAGTCAGGGATCCCAGAATTCAGGGAAGTCAGAACGAAGCCAAGTCAATAACCAAAGAAACACGATCAGATCACACTCTCGGATAACCAGCAAAGGTAAACCACGACAGGGCAATGAGTGGAAGAAATTAGTGAGTTTAAATATCCCTCTTGTGAATCCGATTGGCCATACTCTGCCTTTGACCCCAAAACGTGCGCACGTCCTCTGCGTGACATCACCCGCATGTTGACGTCGCTACCCCCGTGTATAGACGTGGGGCTATATTACAGTGTGGATCTGCAGCAGCCAGCGTCCACCGGCATGTCGTAAAAGCCTGGCCTTATGGCACAGGACCGCCGAGCAGCACTTCTACTCCTGGAAAGGTGATTTATGTTGTGCATAGCATATGGAGAGGATGTATATGTGACACTTCCTAAATAAATCTTTTCTGTCTTCTTACCCAATAACATTTTTTTTTATATATATATATATATATATATATATATATATATAATCTTACAACTGTATACAAAAAGAGGTTGCCCCACTACATCTAATTGAATACCCGTTGACTGACCTAAATTTCGATACAAAACCATTTGAGATACATACCAATGACGTAATCAAAGAAACCATTTATATAGCTTTTTATGGTTTTCTAAGACCAGAGGAATTTACCGTAATATCACTGACAGATACAGATCATTGCCTAAAGACTGACATCTTAAAAATTGCAGACTATTACGTTATTACACTAAAACCTACCGAATCCGGACAGCCATTAAAAATTCCATTATATTTCACCGAGAATAACCGGTGCTCGGTTAAAGTCCTTGATCTCTACCGTCTAACTATTATAGATTGGGCATGTTAGATTCCCTTTCATACACTTTAAGCAATCCACTCATGTATTTAAGATTTATATATTTTATGTTAAGACACTTTTCCTGAGACTTGGTCTCAACCCATCATCTTTATGAGAGCATTCCTTCCGAATTGGAGCAGGATCAGCAACCTCTTGTGTCGATACCTTGTTTACATCATTAAAAGACTAGGATTTTGGAAATCCTCAGTATATAACAATTATATTCCTCCACTAGAGAAGAATTTAGCTTTATAATATATGTAATACATTTTTTTTTGTATCTGACTGCCCTCTTATTTACAGGCCTACCTGAATGTCAGTTTTGGCACACCAATACTAATTTAACATTATGGTTTTTAGGTTTCTAACTACAATTAAGTATGTATATATTTAAGTTTTTTTTTTGTTTTGTTTTTTTTACTTAATATACACTTGTTTTTTTTGTCAATTTTAACTTGGTGGCAAGCAGGGATGTTAACTGCAAATCCAGGTAACCATGATTGGGTACATCGTGGTAGGGGCAGGAGTTCCAATTCACAGGGCTTGCTATGCCGCCCTGGGGTCTTAAAGCCCACCTTTTGCAAGATGGCATAGCACTTTCACAGTCCTTAAGGAGTTAAACTGCACATCTGAATATAATTACAAGCACAAAGCAATAAAAACTGATCTCAAGCAAAGTACATACCTAAATATTACATCATACACCGTGGATAAAGTTATATATAAAAATAATTTTTAAAAAATGATTAAGAGCTTTATGTTAAAACCTGAATTTAAATGAAACAGGAGGAAAGTGATGTTGATTATAGTTTAACAGAAATTAAGGAACTGCACTCATTCAGATGAACAAAACAACTGAGTGCATACAAACCAGGGGCTAGCACAATCCTTACACAATATTATATCCAAGCAAGAGAAAGTCTGAGCACTCCAAAGCTCAGTCAAGTTGGTCAGACTCATTGCAGGGTTGAAACGTTGCGGTGTACTTGGTTCCAATAAATTTGCCTTACGGAGCTTTGCAGTACCTGGACCTTTCTCTCTTTCTAATGTTGATTATAGTGTAAGCTATAAATTAACTGGCCTGGTTCCTCATTTATTGGATTGAATAGATAATTTGGTTTGTTTATACAGCAAGTTGTGTTGTGCTGATTTATGATGTCATCTATTTAGAATGAAATATTCATAGTGGGAAAAATAAAAACTTGTGTCAAGTCTGATATTTTGGTATACATTTTGCAAGTTTTAGGCCAGTACACTACATGAAATAGCAAGGTGAACACCCGTGTCTTATGTTCAGGCATACATTCTTAATAAATTGACCCTGAACATATTTCAGTTCCATTATAATTTCATATCTCCAAGACAAATTGTGAAAACCATAGAGCTCCAACAGTCGGTTCCTCAGAAGAACCATAACTTATATTACTGATAAGTTATAAACGTCAAATATCAATATAACTCATGGGACACAAATATAGCCAAACCAATTTAGAATATTAAGTTGATAGTGTCAAAACATGCAGCCGTGTGAATCTGCCCATTCATCCTGAGTTTTCAGGATTTGTGGGGACTGTTTCACTGTCTTTCTTGAATTGGTTGAAATATAGACTATTTGAATGGCATTTTGCATAGCAAAATCATACGCATATCATCACATATAGTGTAGTGTAATAGTGTTTTATCACCCTCTTCTGTCTGTTATTGATACTGCAGAAGAGAGCCATAACATTTAAAGGAACAAAAACAATATAAAATAGTTTTGAGGGCTAGAGTTCCTGGGTGACTAAATGTTAAACCTTTTTCAGGTAAACATCGAATATGCTCCCTGTGCATATGTCCGCACTATTCTGTCCCTTCTCTGCTCGGCCACCATACTGAGCAGAGAAGGACATCAGAGAAGAGTTGGGCGATGGTAATAAACCGATGCTGACACTGTGTGCGGACAGATAACCGGGAAAAACTTTAGATGTTAGCTGTTTAAAAGTTTGAACTTGATGGCTTACTATGTAATTACAACTGTGCAACTATGTAAGACTTCACCCAGGGACTTTAGCCCCCGAACAACTTCACTGAGAAGTTGTTTTGATAAAGTCACCACACTAAAGCAACCTCCATATTTATGTAATATAAACATAATCTGTGTTAAAAATATGTAAAGCTACTCAACTATGAAGTTGATGCAAAATGCCAGTATTTGTAGCTCCCTGTAAGGAGTAATACTAGCAAGAAAGTGGCACAGTACAGAAAGAAAAACAAACAAAAAAACAAGCACAACTTGGCATTTATAGAAAAAGAGAACAGCGTATTTTAATCAAATATAAACCGTACAAAAAGACAGAGCAAACAAAAAGCTTAACATATGTCCCCTTTTCTTTACATTCACATGTTAAGTAGGCACGCAGGAAGTGCACTAGAGAAAATCACTAAATATTACCATCCAAGTAACTGGTAACAATTAATGTTTGCTTATTTACAGATAGGTACTGGGCTACAGTTATCAGTGCACACTTTAGTCAACCTCAGGATTAAAGGCAGAGTTAATCCTCCCAAGAATAAAATCTGCAGCCTTGATTATTAAAAATATGTTATACAGAAACTACTGCTGCTTTAAAAACACATGAGCCATGTCACAAGACCACCAAAGATATATCACATCAAACATTAAATTAAGCATTAGTTATAAACAGTGTTGTGGAGTCAGAAGCATGAATTGGGTTACTTAAAGGGACACTCCATTACCCAAATACAAAGAAATAAAAATCACTGTTTAGTAACAAGTTGAAATGCTTTAGAGGTGTAGAGTGTCCCTTTCAGTCAATAACATTTACTGACTCCAATTAAACGTACTGTGTAAGTCAAGGTGCAATATAAATTTAATCTTAGATTTGCCTAATAAGTCGACTCCCAAATAATGTGCTGACTTTTCAGCCAGTGTATTTAGTATATTGTAAGATAATTGTGCTAAATATCATAATACAGAGTTTAACATTCGTAGTCATATGCTACTAGTCAGTCCACTGCAAGCCATAGTATACCATCCAGGTGTGAATTTCTACTAACAAGGGCTAAAAGTTTTACTCAACAATGGCTAGTGGCAGGTGGAAATTGGTAGCCCTTATAGAACAAAATGAATTGGAGGTAAGTTGAAGAGTCAGAGTTGAAGGTTATGTGTACACACTCTACAACCCTGGTGAGAAGTTATAACCAGATTGTAAATTTTTAAAAAAATTTGGCCACCTGATGCTCATACAATCAGTCTTTGTTTTTATGGAAGAATGAATACTTAAAAGAGAAATGGTCATATATACATATCTTTATTTCTTTTAAAAGAGCTTGAACTTCTATCTATACCTTATTATACATTAGCAGTTTTGCTAGCAAATGTGTGGATTAGGAGAAAAACCAGATAAGAAAAATAAATATATATGTACACACATACACATGTTTTTCCTAATTTCTCTCTCAATTCTTTAGCAAGTTGCTATGTTAACTCCTTAGCCAGCGGCGCTGCTAGCACTAGGAACAGAATGACGTGACATCATTCCGTTCAGACGCCAGCAACAAAGCCAACATGTTGGCGTCATGGAGAAAGTCGGCAAAGAACGGAGGAGGAGCATGGGCGGACTGGCGGTGGGTGTTACATTTAATGACATTGTGGCGGCCAGGTAAGCCATGACAGTTTACCTATAAATTTTACAGTTAAACATACCTTAAAGCGGTTACTAAATTCGATAACTAAAACATGAATTTGATAAAAGCACTTTGAATGCTATTCAAATAAAATCACTTTATCACAAAAAGAATACTGGTGATGATTTATTCAGAGAAATAAAACAAAATACCATTAATTATCTTCATTTAAGAACACAGCAATCAGATAGGACTGTCTGTAAATGGCACCTAAATAAAATGGTATTAACTATACAGCATAATTCTGTGTTAAAAAAAAAAAAAAAAAATTGTGCCACAAATCCCAGTTTTCTTGATCTGTTTCTGCAGTTGATGAGCGCTGTAATTCAATAGTTTGAAATTCACTTTTCAATGTATGGTGTTAATGCACTATTGAATAAAATCAATAGCCAATATCAGCTCTTCAAACACATGAAACTGAATTTTGAATCAATTATGAACAAAGGAATACATATAAATTCAGGAAATCTGCCCTTAAAACTTGAACTTGGAAATACATAATTCCCAAGCTAGTGCTCTAGAGACAAACCAACCTTGGGTACAGAGAAATACCCAAGACTGGTTTGTGAACCAGTGGGATAAGTGATGACATTTTTAAAGAACTCAACATTTGTGCCATCAAATGGTAATTGCAGAACATAAACCATAATTAATTTCAAAAAGCAGGGAACAAAGTAGCAAAAATGACCATGGATACAAATCTTGTATTACCAATACCAGAAGTCATTTTTCTAAGCTTTCGAAGGAAACCCTTTATATTAAGTTCATATTTATTTATGCTTTATATATCGTTTCTACAAAGCAACTCTTGAAATGTTTTATCTTGGATTCTGTTCCTTCCCTCTGTACACCTTGCATGTTTGGGTCTTTTGCCTGTAAATTATTAAACAATCTTACAATCCATGCAAAGGATTAAAACTAAATCCTGAGGCAACATTACCAAAGAATACTATAATAATTTATAGAGGAAGCATTGGTATTACATGGGTGTACTTGTCAAAGAGAAAAAGCATTTGTATTTAGTACTCCATTAGGCTCTTCTAAAACCTAAGCCAAAACGCTGAGTCTATATTCCACTAGTCCTATTTCAACCAGACATCTTGGCAAATGGTGAGAGATCAAGTACTTCAATGCTGGATTAAGGGACTCTGTTCAATCATCAAAATCAGGAATATCATCATAGGAATATCCTCTGTACCCCTTTGATGCATAATATGCAATGCGTAGATGATAAAAGCCAGGCAGGAAGACCAGTATGCCAATGATTAAGACTGGTATTGCCCTCTCATTGCCCTGAAAGCATAAAAAAGCAAAACATACAGAGTGTTAAAATAATCAGCAACCCAAATTAATCATTAAATGGTCATCATATAACAAATGTGTTTATCTTCAAAAGGTCTGTAATGTTAATAACACTCAATGAAATAACACGTAGACAATTCCAAACATACATGTAAGTATTAAGGGCATGTCACTGCAGAGAAAGAAAGCTTCAGCCTGGAATAATCTTAAAATCAAAGCTGCTGGTTGAGTAAGGAGGAGATTGAACCAATAGTGGTACACATACGTTTATAAATGGACTGGAATCTTTAATTCTCCACATGACCAAAGCAAGACCGTGTGTAGCAAATGTATAATAGTACTATATGAACAGACACAGATTTTGACCAAAAAAGATAGAATGAATAAAGAAAATAAAAGTGTGTCCAAATAGATTAAATAGGCATTCGACAGACTACGTATCAAAAGAATTCAACAAAGAGCATCATGCATCAGTAAATTTGACTTCCAGGGGTTCATCCAAGCAACTGTACTGATACGCATTTTTGCATTAATCCTTAATAATGACTTTGTTCTCTGTATTTCATAATATGTTATGTCATAAATGAACATTCTGTTGCAAATTTTCTGATTTTTAAAAACCCTTTTTCCATTTTGGTGGAATGGTTTTTAGATTACTAGAACAAACAGATTATCAAGTATGGAGATTGTGTACAGTGTGCATAATATAAAAGAATTTAGGACCATAACTCACTAATCATACAAGACGGAAGTGTACACATCACAACTTACTCCTTTGCTAATGTATCCGGCAAGAAGAAGTGACCCAATTACAATCAACAAGGTTCCAATCATGAACAAGATAGTGGCTAGTGCAATGGCTTTGTATGGGATTTTTGGAGGACTTCTTTTAAACTAGATCAAGAAAAAAAAAATACAAAAAGTGTTAATTAAGGATAAAAAAAAAATACAACACATATATATATATATATATATATATATATATATTCTAGTATACTGCTGCTCTCATGGCTATGTTTTTAATTATGAGGCTATATAATTAGTGGTAGGCAGAGACAGCAATTTAAAGCATGCAAGTCTGCAAGGCACTTACTCTGCCACATCAGAATATCAATCCACCTGCAAAGGAGTTATCAAAAGGTAGCTATCCAGCTGTTAAAGAATGACAACTTACAAGATGCTATGCCACTTTGAAAGGAACATGCCATTAAAAACTTAATTTTTTAACTAGTTTGTGTGCCAGGTTTCCTAAGTAGCCCAATGCCTGCTTCCATTAGCTCTGCCCCCAATTATAAAACAGTGACAGACTCCATAGACATACATTATTGTAGCAAGATCCAGAGTTCTACAACAGTTGCAAAATGTATTGTTTTGCCATTGCAATGTAAGATCCACAGTTGCACCAACTACTGGCATTGTGGATATTGCAAAGATAGCATAATGCAGTCGGAGAAGTAATCAGAGGTTTAGCTCCCACGGCACAATCTATATCAGCTCAAGTAAAATTATATCAGTTGATCCCTTATAGAAATGTAATTATTGGCCGCCTTTTAGGCAGATTGACGATATTCTGTACGTTTAAAGTTTTGGAAAAGCAACACAATTTCTGCACAAATCTGGTATTAACTGAACATGCTGACAGCAACCACACTCCTATCGCTCTCAGGTAATCAGTACATTGCTGGAATCAAGGAGATCCCAGCGCTGTTATGCATAGGAGTCTCCTCCTACTCTCAGGCACCCAGCTCAGTACATTACAGTATATTATTCACAGTCACACCTCCCTGCCTTCAGCTGAGCTCTGCATGCAGCCACAATGAGGAGAGACATGAGGTCACAATGTGGCACCTCATCGACTGGTGGCTAGAGTTTCAAAACGAGGAAGACAACGTGCAGAGGCTGTAAGAGGTGAGATCGTTATTGGTAAGATCACTAAATTACAAGAAATAAATCAAAATATGCTTAAATTTGGCTCTACGAATGTCGTTCCTTTTGAATGCTGTGTTAGCTAAGTGCTAGAAAATTGGTAGATTATACATGTTTCCCTTTAATTTAATCTGACATAAAGGTAAGAGTACCAATATGGCAAAATGGCCACAGTGGATAGGTTTCTAGTGACGCCCTACTTACTCTGCATGCTATCTTGCAGGAAGCAGTGCCTTCAAGTACAGCTTAACCTATACATTGCTGGTGATTCAGAGGAACAACACACAGATAAAAACCACTACTACACTGGCTTGCACATTGTGATTATTAAGCATTGTTACCTTCTTTGACAATGTTCTTGACAGTTATTCTTGTTTAAATAAGAGTGTATGCAATTGTTGCACTCCTCAATTATTTTTCATGTGACTTTATGCACTTCTAGAAAATTGGAAGAGCTCTACCTTGTGTACTGGAACATGGAGGAGATGGCTTAATAGGTTAAAGGATTACTCCACAAAAACACTTTTCTTAAACCTCATGAAACACCAATTAATTGATTTTGATTACAGTAAGTTCTTTCTTCAGGCCGATCGCGGATATCATTCCCCCCCGCCCCCCTCGCCAAAAGGTGAGGGAGGTTAGACTGAGGGCAAGACAGAGTCCACTAATTTTGCACAGAATTGCTATTAGCCTGCCAAAACTCTTGTTCCGACTTCCAATGATGCTGCCGGAGGTTGAGTTATATCTCTGGCAGTTAGGGTTGCCACCTGGCCAGTATTTTACTGGCACAGGGGTATTTGAGGCTGTCTGTCTGTTGCCAAAACTGCAAAAATACCAGCAATACAAAAGGCAGTAGATTTCTCTGATTGAGATTAGTCTGCAATACTAGTACCAGCCAGTAGTGTGCGGAAAGTGTATGTGTGACTACCTGTCACTTCCTCCCAGCTTTCAAACCGCTGTAATACTGCCCATTGAGGACTAATGGAAGCAGAAAAAAAAAAGTTACCGTCTGTAAGAGTGACAGCCAGTTGACGTTTGGCATCCACTGGTAAAAAAGTGCAGATTTCTATTGAAATCTGCATTTTTATAAACGACAAACTCCAGACACATAAAGAACTTCAGCAAGTTGAATTGCTTGAAGTGTCTGTAGTATGGCTATAACATACAGTACTTACAAAATCCCCCACCTACATGCTTAAATACATAAATGCATTCACGCAATTCAACATTAAGAACAAATTGCAAAATTCAAGCCATAAATAGCCAAACTAAGGACATAGCAGAACTGGAGAAGGTCTCCAAATCGACTACTTTGGCCTTAACTTTGTAGTTTGGTTTTCAATTCTTTGCCCCAAATTGTTCAGTTTAGGAAATAAACAACAGAGGTTTATTCATTAAACTGTGATGTGTCATAAATTGAAATAATTGTAAACTACAGACCACAATAATTGATTAGAAGACACTTCTCCATTTCAGCCTAGGTACAGCTTGGCTATTTGAACTTACATTCTGCAATTCATTACAATTTGGTGCTTAGTGAACAAACCCTGTGCATTTGTATATATAATCTATGATGCCGACATGGATGTGACGCAGACAGACTGCTGCTGGGTCTATTGAGTGAGAACTTAAAAGAGCAGTCCGATCTCCCAAAACTGCAGAGCAATCCCTCTATTCAACAGAATCAAACTGTAAGTAGTTTTTTTCTTTTTGTACAGAATTTTCCCTTTCCAAATGTATTTTTTTTTTTTTTAACTCTTATTACTTATTATTGTTTTTTACCAAGAAAGGTGGCATCTGTACCGGCAGAAGAGGGAATCGCTTAAGTGGTCATGGTGCTTGAAGTAACACTTAACTACCTTCAATTTTCTTCATGGCGACAGCTTTCACATGAGAAATCTTTGTCATTTCATTTTGTGCAGCACTTTCACTTTTCCCATAAATAATATATTAAAAATATGTTCCAACTGAGATGCAGTCTTACCTGGAGGTCAATATAACCATCATCTGTGGCTGCAAGTTTGGAGTACTTGACTTTGCTGTTAGGTAGAGAAGCAGATACACTACTCCGTGAAGGCATCATAGCCAGGAAGGTTTGTTACAGTAAGTAAATATACAAAAACGAATTTCTACAGCCTGAAGAGAAAAAAAAAAAAAAAATGAAAATTACAGACTTATACAAAAAGACAAATTTAAAAAATTGAATAAATGCACATGGAAATTGCTATATTTTTAGATCAATTTAAGAGATTAATTTAAAAATTCAAAAGAACTAGTTGGTGACCCCAGAAGATAAATGTATTAACACCACAGCTTAGCCCTCAATGCTATACTGCATCAACTGTACTTACAGCATCAGCCATAAACAGAATTTCTCATTATAATACGAGGATATGCATGGAAGTTAATATTCCCATTCTAGAATCTTATTAAAGACTATCCCTAAAATACCTTTATACCTGCTGGGTGGATCCATGGCAATCCCTGCTGATAGAAAACTCAAAACTGCAACAGCAAACAGGAACTGATTTGTTATAACACAAACACTTCCTTTCTAGAACAGGAAATACGATAATATTGTGATTGCTGCTTGAACTCTCTTACGGTGTCAGCTAGGGGGAAACTGATTGGTCGGCTGATCTGTCACTTATTATTAGAGTTCTAAAACCGAAACACATCGGAGCTCCTCGATTCTGGTCTCCGAAAAAATGGCTGCCTCAACTAGACAATGTGCACAGTACTGTAAAAAGATCTGGATCCATATGGTTTTATTTATTTCTTTCCTCTTCCTTGGTCTGTGTAAAGTACATTCAATAAAATTGGAATTTAACTAATTAAAAAAGTGGTACACTTTAGACAATATAATTTCCAACTTGTAAAACTTTCCCACTTGGTTAGAGTCTGACAGGGTTATTCACGAACAGGTTTAAAGTGTATTTCAAATTCAAAGGAGCTATAGGCACCGAGACCAACTCATTGAACTGGTCTGGGTGCATATTCCCAGGTCAACTAATCCTGCAATAGTAATTATTACATCTATTGAGAAACTGCAATAGTTACTATCCAGGGTTAATTTCACCTCTAGTAGTTTTGGTCCAGCGTTACACATAATGTGAGCGTGGCCATTGCCGTGCAGGCGCATTAGATCTCTGCTACCGGCTGGGTTCGGTGGCGGTGGAGCTCGGCACTGGACTCAGTAAAGTGACAGAAGGGGGTTTTCAACACCTTCTACACCACGGGGAGGGGGGTCTATAGGAAGCTATAATACCACAGTGCACAAAAACAACTTTGTTTTCCTGGCACTGTAGTTTCCCTTTAAGGCCAGAGTAGCCAAACCAGAAACATAGTTGACTGACAGAATTTTTCCAATTTGGCTGTTTTGACCTTAAATTTGAAATTCACTAGCAATTTATTCAGTAAAGTTAGAATTCATGGTGAATTCGACGTGAAATTCAAATTTAAAGAGGCACTGTCATGATCACAACTGCACTACATTTGATTGTCCCCCTAGTCACCCCCAAATGCCCCTAGGTCCCCCATATTACAACTCTCTATATCTTACCCGCATCTAAGTGCTAGGCACCGCCATCTTAGTGTGGGTAAATTAAGATAGTGTGGGACACGTCATTTGTCCACACTAGATATAGCTGTGAAATTCCTGTGTGTGCCCAGTTAAGCACTTGGGTATTTGCTATTGTCCAAAATTCGGATGGAAATTTAGGCTACTCATTCATTCGTCAACAAGACGAATGAACAAATAGAAATTACAAAGAAAGAACAAAAACTGAATTTGAATTCGGTCTTCGTTTGTTCGCTTACTACAAGGAGGGAATTACCAGCTTGCGGCTGCCTTCTTGTTATATGTAAAAATAGAAGTGACATGGAGCTGTGCTTCCTCCATACTATGGGGGGGCAATATGACCCACACATTTGTATAAAATCTGCCTAATGCCCCTACTCCCTATGCCGCGAGTAGGGGTATGTCTACCAAAAAAGACCCCCCCGAGTCCATGAGCGGCATATGGGGGCCCTACTTGACAAAAGTGGGGTGGAACCTATTGTCTCTGCCTGGCCCCCACCAATGAGCAGCCCTAGGTAACAAGAGGGGGGCCTAGTGCCATATGTGACAAAAGGGGAGGGTTGTGACCTACTGTCTCTCCCACAGGGCCCCACCCATGAGCGGTCGGGTGGGGGCCCTAAGTGATAAAAGGGAGTGGACCTACCTATTGTCCCTCCCCCAGCTTAAACCAACCAATCAGAATACTCTGAGTCAAATTGCAGGGTTTAGGAAGGCTTTATAAGCTTTCCCCTGCCCTGCGGAACTCAAGCTTGGAAACCCCTAGTCACTGGTGCGTTTATTTTTACATTTAGCCCTAACCCGTTGCCTATGTGCCCCCTTTGTCACATTGGTGGGGAGCCGGAGGGGTGGAGGCAATAGGTTCCCCTCCCTTTTTGTCATTTAGAGCCCTCACCTGCTGCTCATGGGCAGGGCTGCCATCAGAAATTGTGTGGCCCCTGACAGAGCTCAAGGTCTGGGCCCCGCGGTGCCTGCACCCGAGTCCGCCCAAAGTGCTGCAGCCCCCACACCACCCCCCCTCCCGAGTCCGCCCACAGGAATGCAGTGTCTGCAGGGCCGGTGCAAGGATTTTTGCCGCCCTAGGCAAAAGTAAAGTTTGCCGCCCCCCCCATGTGACATCACAATGCCCCACCCATATGATCTGCCATGTTAACTAACACCAATGCTGCAGTGCCACCGTGTTTACATTAAAAGGCCTGCAGGGACAGGCTAGACACCAGAACCACTACATTAAGCTGTAGTGGTTCTGGGGACTATAGTGTCCCTTTAATGTGAGGTAAATTAGAGATTAGTGCCACAAATAATATACTAGATTGCCTACTTACAACCAGATGAGGATGATGATGGGCTCTAGCTGCCGTCTGGCTCCACTGGTCTGGTGTAGAACAGGCTCTCTGGAGGCGGTTTGTAACTGTGGTCACAAAAATCAATGTTCTGGGATCAACGGGAAGCAGCTCCATTTTTTTGAGGGCCCTTTACACAGCTCAATGTCTGGGTCCCAGGATCCACCTTCATGTTCCACCAATGAGTTTGTTCACAGGGGGTGGAGTGTGTGTGGGGGGATGTCCTGATGTGTGTAAGGAATGCATTGTGTGAATCTGTGTTTGTATGTGTAAGGGCTGCAAGGTGAGTTTGTGTATGTATGGGATGCAGTGTGTGCGTCTGTAAGGGATGCATTGAGTGTGTGTAAGGGGTGCATTGTGTGTTGCTGTGTGTAAGGGATGCATTGCTTGTGTATGTGTGTCTGTGTGTAATGCATTGTTTGTTTTTCTGTGTGCAAGGGGTGCATGTGTGTGTGTGATGTATGTCAATCTCTCCCCCTCCCCCCGTCAATTTCCTTCTCCCCCCCTCCAAATTCCTTCTTCTCCCCCCCCTCCAATTTCCTTCTTCTCCCCTCCTCTCCTTCTTCTCCCTCCCTCTCCAATTTCCTTCTTCTCTCCCTCCCTCTCCAATTTCCTTCTTCTCCCCCTCCCTCTCCAATTTCCTTCTTCTCCTCCACCCTCCAATTTCCTTCTTCTCCCCCTCCCTCTCCAACTTCCTTCTTCTCCCTGCTCCAATTTCCTTCTTCTCCCCCCCAACAACTTCCTTCTTCTTCCCCTCTCCAATTTCCTTCTTCTCCCCCTCCCTCTCCAATGTCCTTCTCCCCTTCCCTCTCAATGCCTTCTCCCCCCTCCAATTTCCTTCCTCCCCCCCTCAAATTTCCTTCCTCTGCCCCCTCCCAGAAATTTCCTTCCTCCCCCCTCCCTCCAATTTCCTTCTTCTCCCCCCTCCAATGTCCTTCTTCTCCCCCTCAATGTCGACTTCTTCTCCCCTCAACTTCCTTCTTCTCCCCTCCTCTCCCAGTTTCATCTCCCCTTCCCTCATTGCCTTCTCCCCTCCAAAATTTCCTTCCTCTCCCCTCCTCCAAAATTTCCTTCCTCCCCCCTCAAATTTCCTTCCTCTCCCCTCCCTCAAATTTCCTTCCTCTCCCCCTCCCTCAAAATTTCCTTCCTCTCCCCACCTCAAAATTTCCTTTCTCTCCCTAAAAATGTCCTTCCTCCCCCCTTAAATTTCACCCTCCCCCCTCAAATTTCCTTCTCCCCTCCCCCCCTCAAATTTCCTTCCTCTCCCCCCTCCCTCAAATCCCCCTTACCTCCTTAAATTTCTTTCCTCCCCTCCTTCCTTAAATTTCTTTCTCCCCTCCTTCCTTAAATTTATTTTCCCCCCCTCCCTCAAATTTCCTCCCCCCTTAAATTTCTTTCCTCCCCCTCCCTCCCTTCCTTATATTTCTTTCCCCCCCTCCCTCAAATTTCCTCAGCTCCCTCGCGCGCCGGGTACTAATGCCGGTGCCGGAAGATGACGTCATCTTCCGGCTCCGGCATCAGTATGGAGCGCGAGGGAGCACTCAGAGGAGAGTGCTCCCTCGCGCGCCGGCCAGCTGTCAGGGCCAGCCTCTGGGGGGCCCTGAGGTGACCGGCTGCTGGGCCCCCCAGGAGAAGAGGCTGGCCCAGTGGGTACATACCGGGGTCGCAAAGCCCCCTGCGACCCGGTATGTACCCACTGAATGTGGGGCCCGGACGACCTTAGCAGTCCGGGCCCCCCAGGACCGCCGGGCCCATGACAACCGTTGTCATGCCCTGATGGTGGCCCTGCTCATGGGTGGAGACCGGGGGGGGAGACATACTAGGTCCCCCATTTAATTTAGTAGCCCCCACTTACTTAAGGGCACCAGTGTAGTCAGAGGAGACAATATTAATTCAAATATTAATTATTTACATAGGTGCTCCACCATGTGGCACTTTATTAGATGTCACTGTTCAGTAGACATGCCTCTAGTCGTGGCATAGCGAGTAGTGACAGAAGGAAGATTTTAATATCTCCTTTTTACTAATACAAAGTCATTTTCACTTAGTATTAGTAAAGTTGGCTGAAAAAATTATTTTGGTCTTTCAGCTTTTTAGTAGAGAATCCTTGTGGGAATTAGAGGGCTATCTACTAAGCGGCTGCAAGATGCAGCGGCGACACTGATCGGATCGGAATTTCTTTCTCCAAATGAAATTCTGAACCGAAAAAAACGCACCTATTTTGTCCTAACACAAATTGACAAAGAACTAGTCTATATGACAGGACCAGTGGCGTACATACAGGGGTGGCAGCTGCGACCAGGACAGTCACTCCACGTGACCCGGCTGCCCTGCGGACCTCTGCAACTGGGTGCCCGCCGCCATGTGTTGCGGCCCTGGCCCACGCGGTAAAACCACCGTGGACGCATGTGAAGGGGTCCATCGGGTGGCCTATGTTGTTAGAGCCACCCGATGGCTATGGATTTCCAGGGGGCCCGGTCAGCGCTGCGGCGCTTTAGCAGCGCGACCAGGCCCCCTGAGATGACATCAGACGCTGGGAGGAAGTGACTGCCCCGGTCACTCCTCCCAGCTATCAGACAGAGCCGCGCGGGAGGAAGAAAGGAGGGAGTCAGAGTGGGAACTCTGACTTCCATCA